AGAGAGAGAGAGAGAGAGAGAGAGAGAGAGAGAGAGAGAGAGAGAGAGAGAGAGAGAGAGAGAGAGAGAGAGAGAGAAGGAAGGAAGAAGAAGAAGAAGAAAAAGTAGCAGAAGGACAACAACCACAGGAGCCGTCTGGGAAGCTCATTCAGGCGAGCCAGGGGCCGAAAGCCTCGCCGTACGACAGGGTCACGGAGCCGGTAACGTACCTTGCGAATGGCTTTGCTTTGCACGTGTTGAACGAGTCGCTGTCGACACACCTGGGGCCCAGTGTCACGCAGGCACATGTGGGGATGAGTGGGTGGCCGTCTGAAGAGCACGGGCGCCGGAGTTGAGGTGAGGGGTCGTGTAAGAGGGCCTTACCGAGTCCTCGAGCTGACCAAGTTCGCGGAGGAAGATAAGAAGGCGCTCCAGATTAAGATGGCCACTGTCGTTGATATAGCCACCCATCTTGGGGAGGCAATGACGGTAGAGGGCACTGAGGGTATCAAGAGCGCCTTCGCGGATTTGCAGAGAGGGGAGATGGGGCAGGAAGTCATTGCCGACAAAGCATGCCAGGAAGATCCAGTCGTCAATGAGACGGTCCACGTTGCGAAAACCCGCCCCGTCGCCGGGTCTGCGGTCCGGGCGAAGATCGCTTCGCAAGTGAGCACGGAGATCTGCAAGATCAATGAGGAGGAGGCGGGGGGAGTTGGGAGGCAGTTCGGCATAGCCACGGCGCAAGTCGGCGTCGGGGAGGCGAGCAGCAGCCGAGGGGCCAGGGCAGTTGGCGACGGTGTGGCCGCGGTGGTAGCAAATGGGGCAGGGTTTCTTTGGGACGGCTCGGAACTCTTCGCGCAGGACGTAAATGGCCGGTTCGTGGGTGGCAAGTCCGAGGAGAATGAGGTCCGCATCCGCACCGTAAAGAACGTGACGTTGGTTAGGGTCGTAGTTGGGGCCATTGCGGGCATTACGAATAAAGTCGAGAATCTTGTGTTCACCCTCACCGGGCACACTGGCGTCGGAGAAGATGACCTGCAGGTTTGCCCAACCGGGGTCTTCGGAGAGGCGAAGGACCACGTAGTGTTGAAGAGCTGCGCTCAAGCGGCTCATGAATTCGGTGCCAGGGGTGATGCAATTGGAATCAAAGGGCATTCGCTCCTTGCGGCGTTGGCGAAAAGCACTCAAATTATCGCCGCTGGCTTGCAGATCCTGGAGGCGCTCTTCCAACGTCTGTCATGCGGCAAGGCAAGTGATGCGAGGTGGGGAGGGCGCAGGACGAGGGCTGGGAGAGGCGTGGGTCGGCGCGCCGGCGGATGTTTTTTTGGTGGTGGTGTCACGTACCTGACGAGCTTCTCGGCCTTCCTGTGCGGCGCGAAAGCGGCGGGCGCGCTGCTGGTTCATTTTGGCGCGGGGAGCAACGCCATCGACCGCCATGAAGACGAGGCGGCGCGGGCGAATAACGCGGAAGAGGCGATCAATGTAGGTGAAGATGGCCAGCATCATCTCAGCCTCAGATTTTGGGCTGGGGCGGTCTTCTGGGTGGCAGCAAGGGTGGATGATGCCGTTCATATCCAGGTAGAGGTTGTCAAACTCCAGCCCCAGCGGGTTGGGCTCGCTCGTGTCTAGGGGAATTTCTTCGCCATTGATGATGGTTCCCTAAGACAGGCGGGCAAAAGGGCATCGGGGACGGACGCGAGCGCATGAGATCGAGGCTCTAGGTCCCAGGGCAGGTTTGATCAAGTGGGCGAGTGGGCAAGGGTGTGTGTGTGTGTGTGTGCGCGCGCGGTCGGAGGAGCTCCTCGAGATGTACCCGGGTTTCTCGCAGGACGGTCACGATACTTGGATACCGCTGTGCCAGCCAGGCAAAAAATTGGGGCACTCCCATGGCTGCGGCAAGCCCGCATATGCGGGAGCCGTTTGGAACAGCCTGAAGCCAAAGAGTAAGAGTGGAGGGGGGAAAGAGGCAAGAGGCAAGAGGCAAGAGGGGGAGGAGGCAGTGAGCGTGGGGCAGCGAGCGAGCTGAGCGCGAGACAACTGCAAGGGATTTCATTCGAGCATGCATTCACCAGCGGCCATGTGTTTGCTGACATTTTGATATCGAATGGCTGACATTTCAAAATTTCTGTTGGCTTGATTTGCGCTGACGGGGGGCACAACACAACATCTCTCGTTGATGCAGAGGGACAACAACACATTGCGCGCAACACCAAAAACACAAGCGACACAAGAAGGCACAAGAGGCACAGAAGGCACAGAGGTATAGAGGTACAAAGGTACGGGAACTACATCTTCCATGTTCCTTGCTCTCATCAAAAAAAGAAAGTTGAATGTCGGGTTGCTCAAAACTGCAGCTTGAGCACGTATCGGATGCGATGCTGGCTCTCCTTGTAGAGGAGGTACTCGCTTTGCGAAAAGCTGCTTTGGGCATATTTTGGCTGATCCAAGGGTGCACCCTGGGGCACCTTGACAGGCTTGCCGTCAAACTCGACGGTGATGTCCTTCTTCGGATCAGGCTCCGTCTGGCCCTTGGCAATGACGCAATCAAAGCCCTTGGGTGGAGCTCGCAGGGAGGAGTCGTCCCGGGTAATATGATGCTCCTTGCCGAGGGCGGCCTCGACAAGAAACATGATGCCAATGTTCTTGCTACCCTGGCGCGTTGTGCCCACTGCAAGGGGAGGCAAACCATCAAGCACAAACATGAGTGACCAAGGCAACATGGCATTAGGGTCGCGTGGTGACCGTTGGGAACGGTGATGCCGAGCGTCCGGTGTCAAAGTGACGAAAACAAAAGAAGAAGAAGACACGTACCGTAGCCGGCCGACTTGGACATTTCGCTGGCCAGGTAGATGCCACGGCCAACGCGGCCACCAGAGTGGGGCATGATGCGCAAGCCCGAGCCCAGGATGGCAGCCACAACGGCCACATTGGTGCCGTGCCAGAGGAGGCGACGGTTCTCAATATCGTCATGCTGGGCAAAGCGCTTGTCTTCGTCGTGACGGCACACTTCAAAAGCGTCGATGAGCGAGGCTTTGCGCCAGCCCGAGCTTCCAGTGGCGGAGATGTACTGCTGGATCATGTCGTAGGTCGTGTCGCCCTTCTTCACGGGCTTGAGGTCGCAATGCATCGAGTCGTAGTGCAGGTCGTCGGGGTGATCCTTCTCCACCGTGGTCGACTGGTCCTTGGCGCGGTCCTTGGCGCGGTCCTTGAGTTGCTGCGCGAGCTCAATGTCGGCCAGCACCGTCAGCATGTCTTTCTTGGCCTGCACCACTTCGATCGTCTGGATGACCGGGGGTACACTGCGGCCAAAAGAGTGAGGGATGGTCGTATAGAAGCGCGAGGTGATCTCGCTCAAAACGGCCCGGCTTTTCTTGGCGTTAATGGCCGCCTCAAGCTCTTCGAGAACGCCATAGCCGCGCGCAATCTGAGCCTTGGAGATCTTGCCCAGCGGCATCTTCTCCGTGTCGAGGTCAAACGACTTCATTTGCTCCTTGAACATGTCATTGTCAAAGATCAAATTGACAAAGCTTTGGGTCTTGGTGTCCAGCTTGGAGGGGCGATACTTGACCGTCGTCTCTTGCCCTTGCAAGAAGCTCTGCGATGTCGGAAGTGGCCACGAGCTCGGTGAGCTCGGTCAAATTGCGGAGAGAACAAGCTTTTTTCTTTGTCCCGTCTCAGAACAGGAGACGGCCCCTACGTACCGTGTCGGGAACTTCCTCGTCATCGTCTTCTGCCATGTCAATGAGCGTGTACTTGCCGGCCTTGGGCTTGAAGTTTTGACGATCCTCCCAGTTATTGGCGGCCTTGGCCTTGAATTTTTTCTGTCAAGAGGCACGGCCAAAGAGCCAAAGAGCAAATCATCCAGATGAGCCATCACGTCACGTCATGGTGTAGTGTCAAGGGAACGTCGTCCGGATGGCGCCCCGATATCGCCTCGCAGTTTTCTCACCTTGAATTCGCTAATGGCACCGTCAGGGCTAGCAAAGGGTCCCAAGGCGGCGTTCTGACCGTTCTCACCAACACGGCCCCAGTGCGTCCAGCAGTAGTATTTTCCACCGGACTGCACGACCTGGATGATATAAAACTTGTTGTTGTTGTGGCCCACGTTGGTCTGGTTGAGCATGCAATCAAAGGTTTCCGTGGCATCCGAGTAGACCTTGGCCCCCGAGAGATGGCAAGCGGCGTCCACCTTGGCGTTGGGGCGCAGCAGAGCCGAGCCCTGTGCAGCCAGGTTGCGGATCTTGGTGCCCACCGACTCCTCCTTCTTCACGGCCGGCTTCTTTGCGGCAGGGACGGCCTTTTTGGCAGCGGTTCTCTTGGGTGCCGCCTTCTTGGGAGCCACAGGCTCCTCCTCCTCTTCCTCCTTGACAGCTGCCGCCTTCTTCGCGGGCGCCTTCTTGGCCCGCTTGGGTGCCACAGGCTCGGGCACAGGCTCCTCTTCCTCCGCAGCCGCCGCGGCCGCAGCCTTGGCGGCATTGCGCTTGGATCGGCGAGGGGGCATCGTCTCTGGTTAGTGTCAAAAGAAACGCAGGGCAGGTCTCGGTGGGTTCCTCTTGCTTTGAAGCTACAGCTCGAGGCAATCAGGTGAATGCAGACGCCTGATGATGTCGATGGGAACAATGCAAAAAAAAATGCCCGTCTGCCACCCGATCAACCCTGACCAGTAGTAGCTTGTTGTCCACCCGCCCACCGTCCGTCCGTCCAGTGGGCACATCCCCACACACACACACACACACACACACACACCTTTTTCTTTCTTTTTTTTTTTGCACAACAACAACAAAACCAAAAAAAATTTCGTCGTCCCTTTGTGTGTGTGTGGGACATCCACTTTCTTTTTTGGTTTTTTTTGTGTCCATTTGGATCTATTTATGGACGATTCCTGCAAATATAGAAAAGAGGGCTGTCGCGGGTCAGCACTTTCATGCCATTCCTGTCACGACAGGAATATCAGGCTGTTGTAGCAACGGGCATTTTTGCTGACACACACACGCACTACTGCACGTAGAGTGTGCATCGGTCACGAATTTCATTCAAGTTTGGACTTGGCGCTGATTGGGACAGACAGGGTTGACAGTTTCGATAAAACAAACACATATGGGCTCGCGCGTTTGGAGCCTCGTGCTCCCTTGCTGAGGATGGGGGGTTAGCGCGGTGGCCCTCGCGTCTGGTTGTTATTCTTGATTTGCTCTTGAGACAAGTACATGTCGGCCACCTGCTCCGCCGAGGTCGCGTCATCTGCCTTCTTGTCCTCGCGGATCCGCAAGAATCGCGGGAAGCGCAGCGAGATGCCCTTGTTAGGGTCCACCTATCACTCAAACAAAGATGAGATGTCACAAAGACAACAAGAGCGCAGCTCGAGCGAGTGCACTTGCAGACAACGCTTCAAACTCACCAGGCCTGCTGCCGCCAAGTGGCGCGGCGAGATGGACAGATCGGCCGCCTTGACTTCCCAGACTTGCTCCGGTGCAAACCACACGTCCGGCTTCAAACCCGCATCATAGCGATAATAGCTGGGCGCCGTCGGCACTACGTGTGCCTTTAGGCTCGTCGCAAAGCCCTTGAGATCCTCATCCGAGAACCCCGTTCCAATCTGTTGACCCATTCCCACGGCATAGTGAGGACACGAGGAAGGAAAGGCATTATTATCATTGGACTTCAATCCCCCAAAACAGAAACTCAGAAACCACAAGACAAATCAGGACCAGCACCAGTACAGCGCAAGAACAGCCACGCACCTTGCAGATGCTCTGAAACTCCTCCGTTTCCGTGTCATGGCATGCCAGCAAGAAGGCACCATAGGTGCCCGTGCGCTTGCCCTTACCAATCCAAGCCCCAATCACAACCAGGTCCAACGTATCCCCGACACCATCCAGATAATCCTACACCGCGCATCAACCACAGACCAGATAGCACATCCCAAAGTGAGCTGACATTGATCGGCCAGCGACGTCCTTCCTCTGATCCGCCCCGCCAACCTCAAGCAACGCATGCGCCCACCCGACCAAACGACCCACCTTTTTCAATTTGAGCCAACTATGTGAGCGCTTGGCAATCTCGTAGGTCGCATCGACCTCCAGCGTCTTGACCATGAGGCCCTCGCAGCTCTCCTTGATGCTCAAATCCAAATACTCATCTGCCCCATTCCGATACGCACCACGGCACACCCAGGTTTTTTTGGCAAGTGTAAGCCCTCTGGCCATACACCACATATGCTTGCGGCCCTCCCTCCTCCCCAGCCGATCGATTGTAACCAAGAGCACGTACTGATTTCGTCGACATCGTTTGTGATGAGTGAGTTGGCGAAATGAAATTGACCTGCCCCAAGAGGATTGTCGGCGCATGAGGACCAGGGCGCCAGCCCACTTTAGTTGGGGGCAATCGAGCTTCCCCCGCGCTGGTGGGCATCGGGCATCGGACAGTTGGCCCAAGACGCATGCTCACCTTCCACATGCTGAAAGGCTTCGCGCAGCTTGTTCCGGCGCGTCTGAAAATTCTCACGTACAAGCGACTCGCCGTTCAAATAGAGCAGATCAAAGGCAAACAGGCAGACTTGCACCTGTTTGATAGAAGACCAGTCAGCCATATGGGGGGTCGCACACCACCAAATCACTTGGTCAGCCGCTACCTTTCCCTCCCCTTTCATCCTCCCTCTGATCTGCGAGCGCTTGCTCCCGGCCCCACCTTGATGTCTTCCTCATTGGCATCCTTGCGCTTGCGCGTCGACAAGACCTGAACGCAAGCAAGCACGGGCCCCATTGCACGCAAGGCATGGATAAGTCAAGATTGTTTGCCCTCCACGGTGCGAGGAGAAGACAAGGCGCTGAGACGAGCCACATGGACATGCCTGAAAAGGTAGAATCTGCCGTTCAACGATATCGTAGGCGACTGCCTCGCAATCCAGCACAAAGTCGGTGACGTGCTGACTCATGGCATCGCGGATGCGTCCCACAATGTCCGGGTACTTGGTCGTGTTGTCCTCGGAGTTGCGGCTGAAGATGCACACGCGCCCCTCCTTGCTCATGTGCACCTGGGCACGCTCGCCGTCATATTTGTACTCGCATGCAAATGTCTTGCCGTCGAAACGATCCATCACCTCGGAAATACCCTGGAAAAATGATGGATACGTTCACGTTCACCACCAATGAGACCATGCACCAAAGGGTGACATAAAGGTCTTCCATTTTCGCAGGAAACGGTGCGGCAGCACCAACGCGCAAACATTGAGTCGTCTGTCATCATGTGCCTGCTCGAGCTCACCTTGGTGGGGTGCGCGAGCATAGGTTTCATGGGAATGCCTGGCGTGATGCCACATTTGTCAACCACGGCCGCCAGCCTACCCCAAGAAGCAACCGTGCGCATGTAAGCTATTCAAGCTTTATAACAGCAATGTTGAAAAATACACATCCATCCCATCTCAAAGACCCCGGTAGACTTACCCGTCTTTGAGCAGAATGGGTAAAATGTAATCATAGTTGGGCAGCTCGCAATACACTGTCTTCAAAGCCTGGCAAGTCAGAGATGCAGATCAGACACGCAGTGAGCGCGGCCCGAGTGTCTCTGTTGGTGGATCCCATTCAAATTTGCACGGCGCACCAAAATATTGGCATCGGCTTTGGCCTTGAAGGCTTCGCTCTGAGCGCGTCCTTTGGATGCATCGATCTCTGCCGGTGGAAAGTCTACAACATGGGGTATTTGACGCGCAAGGGGATTGCCGATCATGTATAAGGCCGCTGCCTTTTGGGTATACGAGCCAAGCCACTAGGCGGAAAGCAAGGGTACCTTGGCATGGGGGAGTCATTGTAATGGCCAACCCAAGCGCGCTCAAAACTGAGGAATCGGCCAGCCCGATGCGCAGACGGCCACCTGCAAGGCACGGCAGACAGGCAACGCATAATCAAAAGGAACGAACAGAAAAGAAGAAGGAAAAAAAAAAAAATAAGACAAAACACGGGGTGAGTGGGACGGAGCCATGCAAAGCGGAGCAACGGGCAAGTTCTTGAAGCTTCGGGGCACACGGACTTAGCGAGCGGATCAAGAACATGGTCTCAGCTTCGCAACGGGCGCGAACCAATAACTGCTTGATGACATCTTGCTTGCGCTTTTGACACTAATTGACCCATTCGAATCGCGAATCGCACCAAGAAAAAAACCAAAGAAAAAAACCCACAGGCTTGAGGTCAATATTTCGCGACGGAGTGGCTGGAACATGCAAAGCTCAGTCAAGCGATCAAGGCTTACATCCCGGCCGGAGAGTCGAGCGATTTGAGTAAAAGCTTCAAACACTTGAGCCACGGTCAGGGGTGGTTGCTGTCGGACAAAGCCCAGCTTGCCCTGCTTGCCTTTGCACTTGACAGCGCACTTGCCTGCGGTTCCGTTCCAAGCATTCGATGCGAATAGCCATGAGCCTTGCTTTTTCTATTTCTGGTTTGCTCTCCTGAAAACTACCTTTTCTTCTCAGCACGCAGCTAGAGTCTGCGAGGCTTACCGAGGTCACCACATTGGTGCATGACAGCCTTGACCTGCCCCGGCGAGCGACCCGAGGCGTCGGCGATGGCACGCACGAGGATGGAGTCTCCGATACCCAGCTCGAGGCCCTCATATGCTGGTGCCAGGTCGTTGGTGCACAGATACACGCAGCGAACGAGATCCTTTGGGCTCAAAAGGAGAACGGAGCGGAAGAAATTTGCCACCATGGCAATGATTTCAAGCCGCTTCGTGGTCTTGTCGACAGCCATGTACATGGCTGCCAGGGCCTGGTAAGGTGTTGGCTGATCATGAACCCAGCACGCATGCGCGATAGGATGGTACCTAAGGGCAATGCAAGAAGAATCTTGTGAGAAAAGCGTCTGGAACAAATGACACTGGCCAAAAAAAAAAAAAAAAAAAAAAAAAAAGAAAAAAAAAGATGCTTAAACCAACTTGGGACGAGCGGGATTGTAGTCTCCGGGGTCCACTCGAGTCTTGACCAGGCTCTGATCGGCGTCTGTCTCGTGATCGCTTGCAGCATCGTCTTCGGCCATCCCTTCACTGCTGGCCTGGTCCTGCTGCTCTTCTGGCTCTTCGGACTCTTCGGATTCCACCTCCTCCTTCTCTTCTCTTGGCGCTGTATCGTCTTCACGGCTGTGGCCTTCGAGAGTGGTACTGGAGGCCGAGTCGCGCGCAGGAGGTACAGGTGCAGTCATCACCTCGGACTCTACTTCGGTGTCCATGCTTTCCTCAGCCACAGGAATCATCGCAGCATCTGCTGCGTCATCCTCGCTCCCCTAAATATGCAAGACCATTGAGCCCAATCAAATTCACATAAACTCCAGTGTTGTCTTGGCTCTACCTCCTGTGCGTGGCGCGCATGTGTGTGTGTGTTCTTGCAGTGACAAACGAAAGGCATGACACTCCAAATACACAAGGAGATCGAAAGGACTACCAGTTCAAGCGCATGAACAAACAGATTGCGACACCGCACCTTGGACACTGCTTCGCGTGTGGTCGAGTCTGGGGTTGACGTCTCGCTTGCTCTGGCCTTTGTTGTGCTACTACCCTCACGCCGTTTTGACGGCGACCATTCCTGCACGCCAGCACATGTCCCGTCACCTTTGTTAGAGGCAAGAGTAGTCTCAACGTGTATGGCTTGCGTGCAGCGAGAGCCAGCGGCCAGGAGGGAGCCCGAAACCGTCCATGCTACATTGGTACATTGGGCAGGGCACGAACCGGGTGCTGCGCTTGGTAAGCTTGCACGGCCTCCTCATACGTGGCCTTCAGTGCATCCGCCTTGGTCTGCCATTCTTGCTTCTGGTCTGCCTCCATGACCTTCCATTGCTCGCTTGCAAGCGTCATCCCATCCTTGCCCTTGCCTTTGGCAACTTCCTATACCATCAAAGCTTCTTCGAGTGAGAGAACGCGGTGGCTCGTCCAGCATCACCATTGCGGTCGCTCGGGCCGAAGAACAAGCCACTGCTGGATTTGAGTTCTGACCTGAACGAAAAGGGCATAAGCAGACGCAGGTCGCTTGGGGGCATCGGCGAAGCGTGCCACGGTTTTGGACGAGGCGGGTTTCTTGGTGTCATTTGTGGGCTTCTTGCTTGGGGTCGTTGGGGTTTTTTGCTGCTTCTTCCACTTCTTTTGCCGGGCCTTGAAGTTGGCCCAGGCCTAGAAAGGGTTGAGAGCAAGTGGCAGGTGAGTGTCACACCAGTTTCTGGGCAACCGGATTTTCTGTATGGCGGAACGCGCGGAGGGGAAAAGCACAGGCGCTTCCAGCACGACGCACATCATTAGCGAGGTAGCCTTGAAAACTGGTCGTGTCCGCCTCCTTGGCCTTGGCATTGTCCAAAGTTTCGTCTTTTGTCGGCATCGAGGGCACTGCTGTCGGGGTGGCCGTGGACGCAACTGCTACCTCACTCCCCGTTGATGCGCTCTTGGTGTCTGCAGTCACATGCACGCGCTTGGTCGGCGGCGTACCCGTTGTCGTGGCATCTGCACCTACAGTCAAGGCAGCAAACACCCGGGTTGCAAACGGCAGGTCTGATGATGAGCAAGAGCAAGTGCTTGCAAATGTAAGTATGTGGGGTCTTCTGTTCGATAGGCGCACCGGGCGAGCAGGAACGCGGAGTCGCAACATCGGGTGGCGGGGCGGCCTGTTGAGCAGAGTCTGATTTGGCAGGGGCCGTCGTCTCCGCGTCGTCGTCTTCATCTTCATCCCACAGCACATTCTTGGCACGCTTGCTGCTTTGCTGTTGAAGGTGTTGCGTTGCGTGTGTTCATCAAGTCAAAGGGTGTGTCAGCTCATCGCGAGGTTGCAGACCGCATTGGCAGAAGAACAGCAACATGTGGCAGCATGGATGGACGCACCTGCAGCTTGGCCGCCAACACGTCGCCGTCATCATCATCCTCATCCTCGGGTTGGCTTGCCAACACAATCTTGGGGCGTGACTTGACGCCTGCACCGCTTGGGCTGGCCGTCTTGCCCGCGGGCTTGCTCACCAGCCAGCCAGACCTGTCATGCAATCAAGAAGTGCGACGATGAGACGGGCAAGGCGGAGGTGTCACGCTGATCCTGCTGCATGTCAGAGCAGGTAGCGTTTCATGTCCTTCCTCGCCCCGACTTACAGAGACATGACTGTAGCTTCGATGCTTGATTCAAGGAATTAATCTCTGGCAGCCGGGCTCGATCTCACGGAGACAAGGACGATGCCGATTTGAGAGCCACCTTTCCAGCTTGACGCGCCTGCACAGCCAGAAAGAGAAAAACGCGCCGAACCGCGCAAAGCGTAACGGCTAGTTTACAAACACAAACGGAATTACTATTGTTTTATGAGCAAAAACTTGTTCCAAACGATTCAAAAACCCGGAAAGTTCGTTACTTTTCTCGCGGGCGCGCCAAAACCAAAAAGAGAGAGAGAGAGAGCTAGCGCGCGCTGTGTGTGTGTGTGTGTGTGTGTGGAGACACCCGACTGAGCACGGCGACTCGTCGAAGAGGAGCAGGGCGAGCTTGCTTGCTTTGCTAGATCGTCTCCTTCTTCTTCGCTCTGGCTGTCTGCCTGCTTACTCGCAAGTAAGGCTGGGAGGGAGCGTCAAGAGGCCGGTTAGCGACCTTGGTTTCGCGCCTGAATAATGCGTTTTCTGGGTTGAAGAGGAGCTCACTCAATGCTTGGACTGGATATCGTTTTAGGTGTCTCAGTACGAGCGAGCGATTGTTCCCGTTTGATTTGATTGCAGGTGAGCGCGCAATATCACACGGCTTTCTTGAATCAAACGCCTGGCTGAGCACCACCCGCTGCATTTGAAGATCACGCCGGCAGGGCTACCCGCCGAGATGGCGACCGATGAGAAGAAGCGCTTGGCGTTTGACCAAGACATTTGCATGATCTCCAAGACGGGTCTCTCCATTCCAGGGCGACTGCGTTTTGGCGATGCAGGTGCGTGAATGCATGTGCTCTCAGTGTCGCGATACAACCCTACTTATCTTGCCTGTCACTCATGATGCAAAAATTGCTGGTTGGCTGGACGGACTGGACGGGCTGGATGGGCCCGCAGGCCTGGCTTTCAAGCCCAAGAGCAGTGAGCTGGTTGGTCACATCCCGACGCGCATGCCAGTTATGTGCACATTGGCATTTGTGCCCTTGCTCACGCCGAAATGGTTTTACTGCCTCGTTGTGTTAGATGCATTTCTACAAGGATGACATGGTGTCAGTGGATATCTTTCGCGTAGCTCGCGGCTGTCGCATTCGATTTACGCTCAAGACAGACAGTATGCCAACCTTTGAGGGCTTCACCGAGGAAGACGTCGAGTACAAGGTATGTGAGCTCGACCCTGCCCTTGTTTCGTTTGGGACGACATTCTGGCGCGCATGTCTTCGTCGCGCCGCAATGTCGCTTACGCCGACCCGGCCTTGTGTAGATCAAGCCTTTCATGAGCACCTATTACAACATCCCCATTCAAAGTCACAAGACCAGTGTCAAGGGTTGGACCTCGGGCCGCACCGAGTTTAGCGCCAAGCACTTTCGCTTTGTTTTGGACGACGGTGTGGCGTTCGAGGTGCCCCTGGCTTCCCTCACTGCCGCACAGCAGCAGCGCCACGAGGCCATTCTTGAGTTCCAAATTGTGCGTTTGCTTGCTCGTTTGCTCAGCTCGAAAAGGAGAACCAAAGAAAGAAAAAAAAAACCCAAAGAAAAAAAAATACCATAGTCGCTCGCGCTCAGTGACAGAATTCGTTATCACCAACTTGTCCAATAGGATGACATGGCTGAGGTCAACGACCAAGTCGTCGAATCAATGCGCTTCTTCGTGCCTGGTGCGGCTGCTAGCTCAGGGTCCGGCGCCAATTCCGTAGGTGGTCATGCTTCGACCTGCATTTATGCAAGAGAACGCACCTTGGGCCATCACGATTGACCGATTGACGTTTACTTGTTTTTGCCCGCCCAGAATTACGCCGCAGCAACAGAGTTTGTGTCAGAGATCAACGAGCGCACCGCTGTGAACAGGGTGCGAAATGCCTATTCTCCCAAGCAGCCCCACAGACCTTGTCTGGCTGCTTGCGTGCCTTATTGGTAATCACTTTTCCCACTCTAAATGCCACGTGTTGCACCCTCCCGCCTGCTACCAACTCTTCAGATATCTGGCAAGGCAATCTGCATGATTGAAAATGTCAAGCTGGTCGTTCCACGCGGCACTCATGACGTGGAGGTTTGTGTGCTCGCCTGCGGTGGCGCCACGTTTGGCGTCATCACTCTTTTGTCGAGCCTGTGACCCACCTCACCGCGTGCCTTACCAATTCTTAGTTTTACTCTTCATTCTTGCGCCTTCATGGCAAGAAGTTTGATCATAAGATCCAGTACGAGAACGTGCAGCGCATGCACTTGCTGACCCAGGACGACAAGTTTGTCTTCTTTGTCCTCACCTTGCGTGAGCCGTTGCGTCAAGGCAACATGCGCTACAGCTACGTCGTGATGCAGGTAACGCGCCGTACCGCGCCGCTGCCGGAGATGGTAGCGAGTTGCACTTGCGGCCTCACTACGGAATGGCCTTTTAGTTTTCGAGTGGCATTGAAATGTCAGTCACCCTGTCACTGGAGACGGATGAAGCTCGACAGGCTTTGCCTGATTTTGAAGGTCCGTGATGATGCGGAGCGTTGTCATTTTGGCCGGCCCATCTCAAGGCCATACCAGTCGAAAATGCTCATTGGGCGGCCGGCTGCTTGTTGAGGACAGATCAACAAGAGCTGCGTGATGAGGAGGCCCTGCTTTTTGGCCGGCTCTTGTCTGCGGCCTGCAAGAAAGACAACTATGAGATTGCTACTGCCTTTACCAGCTCTCGTAGCTTTCATGCTGTGCCCTGTACCCTCAAAGTATGACAGTTGTGCACTGTCGGTCGTAGCACGCCCCGGCAGACCCACGCCCTCCAACTGATGAATGCGGGGGGGTTTTTTTTTCTTTGCACAACCACAGGCCAATGAGGGCTTTTTGTTCCCGACGAACCGGGCTCTGTTTTTCCTTCACAAGCCTGTCACCTACATTCCCTACAGTCAGGTGTGTCTCATCCCACTGTGTTCATTTTCTTATCTTTGCCCACACAACCTTGTTCATGGGCACCTCCGTTTCGAGCTGTTATGTGAGCGCCATGAACTTTTCCTCGCCATCCTCCCTTCACTTCTTCCTTTGTCGTTCTCTGCGTCTTGGTGGCCTTGCCAGATTGCCGAGGCCACCTTCGAACGAGGCAGCACGGCCCGTCGCGGCATTGATCTCACGGTTGGTGCCGACAGCGGCGGTGGCGGGTCCTGAACGCCTTGTGCGAGCCGATAGCACTTGTGTTACCACCTATCTGACGTCCTTGTCATTGGTGTTGGCATGATGTCACAGGTCAAGTTGAAATCAGGCGAGGAGCACGAGTTTCGCTCAGTGCCCAAGGAAGATCAACATAGTTTGTTGACCTTTTTGCAGAACAAGAACGTGCGGACAGAGGCCCCCATCAGCGACGAGCCCAAGAAAGTGTCCTACGTCGAGGCTAGCGAGGTGTGCAGCACAGACCGTCCGAAACTCGTGCTCGTCATGTTTGATTGTAGACCGTCCATTTTGTCGTTGGTTGGAATGCCAGAGCTTGTTCGTCTTGTCTCACCAGTCTCCTTTGCTTTTTCAGGGATCTGGCTCGGACGAATCTGATGGCGAGTTTGATCTGGAGCAAGCCGAACAGTAAGTGTTTGACCGTTGTTCGAAAATAGCCCAACGCCTTGACCTGGCAGTATAGCAGCAGGATGGCGTCAAGTCGATGAGGCTAAGAAATGCCTATGGCCTTACACTTGGCACTCATTGGTATGTGCGTATTTTGTGTCGACTCGTGTTAGGCAACAAGAGGAGGAGGATGAGATGAACTCGGAGGATTCAGACTCCTTGGAGAGCGAGTTGGAAGACGAGGAAGCCGAGGTAACCGATGGCACTCACAGTCTATCCCCGCCATCGATTTGTGGTTATGGTTGCTGTTGTTCTTTACTTGACTGAGCACACGTGTCTTTGAAATTTGACATCTTAGCTTTTCACGAAGAAGCGACGTGGCAGTGATGATGCCGCTGGCAGCGACGATGGTGGAGATGACGATGACGATGAGGACGACTTCATTGACGACGGCGAGAGCAAGCCTCGGCGCAAGGCTTCGAAAAAATCGAGCAAGGGTGCAAGCAAGAGTCAGAAGAAGGACCCCAATCGTCCTAAAAAGCCCTTGCGCTCGTACATGCGCTGGTTCTCGGCGAACCGAGAGCAGATCAAGCAAGACAATCCAGATGCCAGCAACACTGAGCTGTCTCAAATCGGTGGCCAGCGCTGGAAAGAAGTGTCACAAGAGGACAAGGACAAGCTTGAAGAGGACTTTCAATCAGAGCTCGCTGAATGGGAGACAGCCGTGGCGGCCTATGACGAGGCGCACCCAGCCGCTGATGATGACGACGAAGGAGCCTCTGGCCGCAAGTAAGTCGCCAACCTCGTGCTGTGGGGCTGCGGCATGCTCTGGCTCGGTGGCCAGCAATGTACATGCTCAAATTCACCGTCTCGGTTGGTGCAGGAAATCCAAAAGCAAAAGCAAGCGACGTTCTTCAAAGGCTAAAGCGGTGGGTCTCTTGCCTGGGGGCTTGTTTCTTCTTCTTCTTGAAAAACCTTCAAGTCCCTCACGGTTTGGTTCTACCGTCATCTTGTCCGCGCAACAGGACCCCAATGCGCCAAGCAAGCCCAAGTCAGCCTACCTGTGGTTCTTCCACGCCAATCGCGAAGAAATTAAGGAGCAGAACCCTGGCTTGTCGACCACAGAGATTGCCCAAAAGGCTGGCGAGGTTTGGATTTGCTATTACCCCTGGCCTTGGGAGGAACGCTCTCATGCCCATGTTCCTTCTCATCACAACGTTTCCACGCATGATGTTCGGCCATCTATAGATGTGGCGCGAGATGGAAGACAAATCAGAGTACGAGAGCAAGGCTGCAGAGGACAAGGTTTGCAAGATCTTGAGACTTTGACAACTATCACTGCTTTGCTTGCTCGTCACATTGTGTGAGCCGTTGTTCATGTTCTTGACGTCACTGGTGAGCCTGCCTTGTAGAAACGTTATAACAAGGAGATGGAGAGCTACGAGCCACCCGAGGAAGATGACGACAACGATGGTGGCAAGGCAAGCAAGAAGGGTGGTCGCTCTGCTCCTCCCAAGAAGGCCAAAGTCAACGACAACTATAAGGTGCGGGCTTGTGGTCCTTGGCAAACAAATGCGTGGTCACGCCTTGGGACTCACGCACCTCATGTTGCCCTCATCTGTTTACAGAGTGCGGAAATAATTTCTTCCTCTTCTGATGAGATGGAGGATTAGACAGCGGCTTGGAAATGCATGAGAGTGTTCTCTGGGGTGGCCCATTTTTGAATGTGTGACTGTCCACGTCAACTAATGCGTTAAAATGTCAAATTGCCATAACACGACTCATGCATAGTAGGATGGAGATTATTTTTGCTCGATCAGTGCAACAATTGAACCACAGTGCACCCAGGTATATCGTGGGGCACAACAAGACGCGAAGGCAGTATCTCAAAGTCAAAGTCGCATTCTTTGTGCCTTGGTTCATGGTTCATCAGAGCGAGAAAGTAGGGAACAAGAAGGAAACTGAAAGGTTGACCAAAGCAAAAACAAAGAAAAAAAAAAACCAAAAGAAAAAACAAATCAAACCAAACAAAACTGTGTGAAGCCGGATGGGAGAGAAAGAGAGAAAAGGTCGGCTAATACTCAAAAATCTTCTCGAGCTGGTTTGACTCATTCAGATCCATGACTTGATCATAGCCGCCAACGTATTCGTCATCGACAAACAGCATGGGTAGTTCGCGCGTGCCAGCCTAAGCGGTCAAAAACTGAGGGTTAGGCGGAGTGCCTGCGGGTGCGCAAGCGAGAGCTGGTGCCAGTGTGGCGAGACTTGCCTTTTCGAAGATGGCATCACGGGTGGCCTTGTCCATGTCCATGTCCACTGGGATCCAAGGCTCAAAGTCGGGTCGCTCATGAACCTTCATGCGCTCGAAAAGAGCCATCATCTCTTCCTTGCGCTTGCGATACACGGCTGAAGAGGTGGTCAAGGAGAAATAGACTCGAATCTTGCAGCGCCCACCCAAGTTGACACCCTGTGTGCCCGCGTGATCGAGAAGCCCAAAACCAGAGCCAAAACATTGTCAGATGACACGGGTCATTCAGTCGCTCCGTGAGCCAAGCGCTGAGCATGCACGAGGCGTGACTTTTTAAGATACATACGGTATATTCACGCCAATCGGCGCTACGCTCCCATGGTGGTGGCAAAGCACCGCCCGCCTTAGCTGGGGTGGCAGGTTCAGGTTCAGGCTCGGCAGCAGCGGGTTCAGGTTCAGGTTCAGGTTCAGCCACTGCCTGATTGTCGTTCGACTTGCGGGTGGCCGTCTTGAAGTAGCTGAGGTACGTCATCATGGAGAGTTCATCTAGATCCGGGTTGACCAAGTCCTCAGGTTCCAGCACCTACAAGTCCGGGATGCAATAAAAACAGGCATGCATGCAAGCAAGCGCACACACGGAGTAAGACCAAGGTTCTGGGTTGCGGAGACATTTCATCAGGCTAGTGGGAGAAGGCGCGTGCACTCGATCGAGACGCTTGAGAATCAGATGCAATCGGAACTTCACACCTTGGGAATGCCTAGGTATTCTTCCGCGGCATCGATGGCGGTGGTGGCATTGCGCTTGGCATTCTCCACCAGCATTTCGCCGTGATTGGGGATGACCTGCGGCTCGCCAGCAATGACATTGACGAGCGCGGCCATGGCGCGGCCATCGTTCCAGTCTTTGTTGAGGTTCTTGATGTTGTATTCGGGAATCTTGCTGCGCACCCACTAGATTGATACAACCACACGACACGGCAGATCAACTTGCACCTGGCACTGGGTGGGGCTGGAGCCACCACCACTCAAAAAACTGTCACAAGCCAAAAGCCGCTGATTCACGCACCTCGAGCATCAGCTCACGGGCACCACCCTTCTTGCCATGGCCGCTGACGGCTTTCCCGTCCGATCCCTTGAAGGAAACAGCAATTTGGTAGTGGTAAATGATGGTCCTATAGGCGTGGACATTTGGAATGCATCGATCAGACAAAGGTGCAGGCGCATCGCAATCAAAGGGTGTCGATGCACAAACGATGACTGTCAGCACAAGGTTAGCAGAACGCACCAGAGCAGGCCAAGGATCAGCTTCTCGTTGCCCGACTCAATGTCCGAAGGGCCAATGTTGACAAGGGTGAGGTTCTCCTTCTTCATAAAGTCAAAGGACGCCGTCAGGTTTTCAAGCTTGTGAACCTTGAGGCGGGGGTTGCGGTTGAATTTGCCCATCGACTTGCCCGAGACGGTTTGAAGCTGCCAAGGCCCACAAAGAGTGAAAAATCTGAGCAGCTTTAGCACATCTCAGCGTTCGTGTGAAACCTACCATCTCGATCAGGCAGACGCCGTCCTGCATCGCATTGGCGAGATCGTTCTCGTCAATTTCAGGCATCTTGTCCTTGATCTAGCGCGGGGTTGAATTGGAACGGAAGGGTAAGGGCGAGTAGCGCAATGCGGCTCGAAAAGGGATATGTGTGAGAGGGCCATGAGCAAACCTTGGTGTTGAGCCAGTTGGTGAAGGTGCCGCGCTGAATCTCAACCCAGCCCTCGCTCTTCTTGTTGAGGCCGGACACTGTGATGATACGGTAAGCAATTGGGCGTGAGGATGCCGCGGGGTTGCAGGGATTGGTCTTTGGGATCATGATGCTCCAAAGCACGCCGCGAACGCACCGGAGCCAGCAGCCGCAGCCGCAGCCGCAGCCATATCAGGGGTAGCCATCTACAGTTGGCAAGCACAGCACGTAAGAGAGCGACCCAGAACCATTGGGAGCAGAGGGGAGCAGACACAGGCAGAGCTCAATGGGCACCCACCGTCAAGCGTGAGGTCGTGAAAGGGAAACAGATGACGGTGCTAGGGCACAACGAGAACTAAACGTTGACGTGGCGGTATGTCGGGCACGGCGTGAGACGGAAAAATACCCCCACCAAACATCGTCCGACAACCACACCAACAAACAGCCAGCCCCACACGTCCAAAAGGCAAAAGGACACGCCAACACTACCCAATGCAGTCAAGGACCACACCAGCCAAAACAGGCAGGAGATCCAGTGATCCAGCCAGAAGAACTTCAGGGGGCGGGGTACACACACTTGATCGCCAATGTCAATAATAAAGGCAGTACACACACACACACACACACACACACACACACACACACACACACACACACACACACACACACACACACACACACACACACACACACACACACACACACACACACACACACACACACACACACAACACACACCAAAAAGTCTGACATGCTTGGTTCAGTCTGGTGTGTGCGATAAAATTAAAAAGACACCTGTTATTTTCAAACCTCCGAGTTGAGGGGGTCAGTGGGGTGGTTGGACATACAAATCGACCATTGCTGCTTGACAACCAACCATGGCTGAGAACACCGACAATGCTGAAGAAGCGGCCGTGGCCGCGGCACCCGAGCTGGAACGCCAGTCGGACGGCTCAGGCGAGGCCGATGATGCCTCAGACCCCGAAGCCAGCACGGTGAGTCTCAAAAGGCATGATGTGATGGCGTCGCTTTTGTTTTGAAAGGGAGATGGAGAGGGAGAAAAACCGGATCTGGACCTGTGCGCATACACGCATACAAACCAGGAACAGCCGGCAACTGCGGCGCTTGAGCTGACGATGATTGTGTTTGCGTGCTCGGCTGAATCTAGGCAGTGACCATTGGCGTTGAAGAGGCGTCCGAAGATGCGGGCGTTGTCGAGGCTGGTGGTGAGGTCCAATCCGAGCTGCCGGCTCCTGAGACTGAGGCCCAGCCGGACGAGGGGGCTCAGCCGGACGACCTCGAGGCCCAGCACGATAACATTGAGGCCCAGTCAGACACCGCTGACGCGGCACCCTCGGGGGATGATGCAGCAGCAGCTGAGTCCGAGCACGCTGACGCTGAAAGCGCACAAAACACTCAGGACGCTGCAGCGGAAACACAGATGCCAAACAACCAAGAGGACCCAGTCAGCTTGCAGGCTCAGTTGGACCGCTTGCAGCCCCTTGCAGAGGCCTTGCGCACGGCGGCTGCTGCTGCCGCGACCCCCTCTGATGAGGCTCCTGCTGCCGACGCTGCCGCTGAAACTGCCGTCGATGGAAATGAGACTGGCCCCACCCCTTCAGAAGAGCTTGATCCTACGGAAAAGTCCGATACTGAAGCCGCCCCGGCGGCCGGATCAGCCGAGACCGAGGCCTTGTCGAGCATTGCTATTCCAGACGATTTGCCGCAGGATCCCACTGAACTTTTGGCCTTGTACGATGAACTGCTCGCTCGCCACGCCACTGCCATGGAGGCACAAGCATCCGGCTTGGATGCTGGTGAAGCATCAGCGCCAGAAGAATCATCCCAAACCGGGGAAGTTGATCAGTTGGTTCCGGCTACAGAGACCGACCACGCTGAAACCGACGAGCAAACAACAGAGGAAGGGACAGAGCCCGAGATAGAGACGCTGCCACCACCCAATCTGGAAGGCCTCGATGACGATGCCCGCGCAATTGCGCTGCTTGATCATGAACTGCTGCTTGCTCGTCGCACTGCTGAAGCTGAAGCCCACAAGGCGGCTCAAAATCCCGCTGCTGGCGAGGAGAGGACTGAGGCCGAGGGGACCGAGGTGGACCCCTCCCCTCTCGATGAGGCACGGGCTCGGATCGAAGCACTCGAGGCACAGCGAGCAGACTTGCTGGAGGAGCAAGCCGCCCGGGCCGAGGCCGAGGCCGCTGCCGAGGCAGCTCGCGTTGAAGCCGAGGCCGAGGCAGCCCAGCGAATGGCTGCAGAGCGCGCGCATCGGCGCCAGCTGATTGAAGAATATAGTCGTTTATCCAGCGCCCTGAACAACGCCGAGATGAACAACGGCATTATGCACGCCAACTTGGCCGAATACCTGCACAGCAAGCGAACGAACAATGACCAAGGCAAGAAAACCTCATCGGCTGAAGCCAAGCACCAATACCAGTTGTTGCTTGAGCGCCTTGTTGCCATGGATCGAGCTCGCGCCGACCGCATGCAACATCAAGACGAATCTACAAATCACCTGGTCCATGCCATTGCGAGCAGTCGCGAGCAGGTGGAGCGGCTCAAATCCCAGTACACCAAATTGCGCCGACGGGTGGCACTGAGCTCCATCAGCCGCCAATCAGGCATGCGCATGCGTTCTGATCAGCTGGAGGAACTCGAGCAAGCCTGGGAGAGTCAACAGACGGTCCTTTCACGCCAACGGCGCATCTATTCACGTGCCATGTCTGGCCTGGAGAGTGTCTCGCATCGGTCAGAGGCCCATGACCAGCGATCCGGCGGGCTGAGCCTCATTGACTTTGAGCAGCTCAAGATTGAGAATCAGACGCGTACAGAGCAGATTGAGGAGAGAACCGATGAGGTGATCAATCTTAAGCGGCGTGTCGCCACAACAGTGCAGATCTTGTCACACGTGACGGAGAAGCTTCACTTTTTGCGTGAGGAGGCACAAATTCATCGAGGAAAGCTGCGAGAGGAAGATGCCAACTTGGCCCGGCGGCGAGCCGAGCTCTCTCGCCTCAAAAAGGTTCGCGACCAGCTCGCCAACCAAACTCAGCGGTTACGCCAGGAGCTGACTCTCCTACACCGCGAAGACTTGCAACGCGACTTTGAGGGAAAAGAAGATGAACGAGCTCTCCTCACCGAGCGTGCCGAAGAGCTGCAATCTCTTCACGGAACCATCCGGGAGCAAACCTTTCAACTCACCCAGCGCCTGCCACCTACCTCGGCCGTCACAGAGAAGAAAGAGCATGCAGCGTCGGCGCGGCCGTTTAATACTGTTAACATCGAGTTTGGTTAACGCTCCACAACTGTGTCTTTTATATAGGTTTTGTGATCCTTGAGCTAAACTGATTTCTTTGTCGGTCTCTTTCCTGCGTTTGTGGACGGGACTGTGGCCGTGTACGCACGGTTGTTTGCTTTGCTCCATCGATCTTAGTCCCCTGTGTCTGTTCGGAGTTCTTCCCCCGTTTACTTGGCCCGCGGTCAAAAATTTAATTGGAAGCGATCGAACACTCCGCTTTTTTTTATCAAATGAGTCAGCCGCACCCCTTGTCAGTGAGAGGAGGGAGGCAACTAGACTTTTAAATTATGATTGCAAGGCTGATGATGAGGGTATGATCTTTCTATCATCATCATCATCATCATCCTTTGTCGTTTGACAAGTGAATGGAGAATGACTCAGCATTTTGTGACTTGTCATTGGCAGAGCTACTCGCTGCTACAACTTGAAAACCCCTCGATGATACGCGTAGGGGCACCTTGGTTTTACACTCGCTATGGTCACTCAACTCATGGTATGGTGCACCAATCAACTGGAGGCATCATGCGGTCGAACTCTGCCCACTGGCTTTGGATATTGCCTCTGTGAGCAGCACAGCTGGGTGAGAGGGCGGATAGGAAAAACGAGCATCTCGTAACTTGAGCTCAACGCACCGTTGATGATTTCAGAGGCAATCTGCTTGGCTTGCTGCCGGCGTATGTCACGCTCTGCGCGGCACAGCCCGCCGCTGTGCCAACGTGCACTGGCGCTTTGTAGCGGGGCAGCGTTGGCCATACCGCCGGCGGCGTGCAGTGTGCTCAAAAACCATTTTTGCTTTGCGGCAGCCCGAAGAAGCCAGAGGTCCGTTGCGGTTCCATCCGCCACCTGGTTGCCCGGCCAGCCGAGTTAAATGGGCCACAAATTGCATAAGAGTCCTGGCAATCAAGGGTTGGCAATCAAGGGTCCGCACTCTGCTTGAACGCAAGGCCAAGTCAACAAACCAGGTGTGGGGTTACTCGTGCTTCTTTTCTTGACGCCTCTGGCAGACCCACTAGAACGCCCTGTACAGCAGAATGAACAAGACAAGTGTGGGACATATGGCACAGAAAGCGAACCAGTCAGACGAAAAAATGATTTGGAAAGGAGTTCAAGCTGTAGCCAGTCGCCAACCCACCCGGTGAAGATCAAAGATGAACAGCTCTGACTCGAGCTGGAGACACAGGTAGTCAGTTGAGCTGCTTGCGGTAGTCGGCGTACACCAGAGTCGAAGCATCTGCCTTCGATCAGGTCCCTTGGCAGCCAGCAAGCGAGCTGCCTGTTCTGCGCTCAATGGCAACCGAAATGCCAAAGGAGCCACCTCCTACGACCAACGCAGCCCAAATGCCAAGTCGGAAGCGAAGCCATGTGAATCACGACTGTACACGCGTTTGAAAAGCAACAGTATGCGTTTCGCTGCCTCTGGCGGTGCCGTCCCTACCATTCCGGGCAATTGCAGACGATAGAATAGCAACGTCGGCATGCAGAGCGCTTCGGCTTCAAAGAGCGCTGCAACGAATAAGTCACCCGCCCAGTGGGAGGTGCATGCTCCAAGAACGGCCGTCGCCTCTTGCAGGGCCGGATCAGCGACTGCACGATGCACTTGGGAGACCTCCGCCCCTCTATCAAGCAAAAGCGCACAAAGGGCCAGCATCCAGCATTGCCAACATTGCCAAAGCAATCAGTGGATGAGCAACACGGCACTTTCCTTTGCTGGATATCAGATCAGAGCTTGAAGGCGAGTGCTTGCTGACCCTATTCCAACGATCTGTACAATGACAATGCCGTCCTCTGCGTGCTGACTGTCCGGCAGCGCGTAGGCCTTGTGGTGCTCAGCACCCATCATCTGAGCTCACATGCGCAGGGTGAGGATTTCAAAGCCAATATGCACGTCGGCGAGTGTCAAGCGCACCAAATCGGGTTTGCAGTCGAGTCAAGTACGAGAAGCACGATCCACATACGTGGTCAATCAAAGCATCTTGTTGAGCACAGGCTGCCAGAAGCTGCACGTGTTCACCTTCAAGGCGCTTGCTTCTGCGTCGGAAGAGCTACGATTTCCCAGCAGCAGCAGCAGCCCAGCAGCAGCAGCCCATCAGCGCATCCATGTGGAAAGTCACGCCCGTGATGCTCCATTCGCTAGATTACCGCCTGCTAAGCAGGCTGTCGTGCCCGCGCGCTTACCGTGCCCGTATTGCGTGCATCATACACGAGCTGCGATGAAGCCTCACGAAGACGCAGTACCTTGCGCGAAAATTGAAATCGATATCGCTGTGCCGGTTCATACCTGAGCCAAAAAACAAGCAAAACAAAACCAATAGCAGCGCAAATGTGTCAGTTGAGATGCCGAACAGAAAAGTCCACGCGTTTACAAACCCCAAGCGGCCTCAACATACCAGCCAAAGCCGGTCAAGTGCTCCGGTCCGCGCATCCACACCAAGAGAACACCTTGCGAGTCAAGGGAGAAACACTTTTTGCTCTTGTGGGAAACGTCCAGCACAAGCAAGTCACCACTGTGGCCTAAGAGGCACAAAGACTTGGCCATAAGATTTCGAGCACGACGATAGCATGGCTGCGGGGTCTCATTGTGCGTGGGCACAGGCATGGCTTGCCCTGGTCTGCACTGAAGCATAGCATTGAGGGCGAGCTGGAGCGACCACCCACCTCGAAATACCTCGACCGGAAACTTTCCACTCATAAGATTGTCGCCCAGCACGGTGCTATCCTGATCAGGCCGCTCGAATGTCAGGTCAACCAACTTGGCGTCAGGTTGTAGAACAACACGCCAGATGTCACCGTCGTCAAAACCCACGAGGAGTGAGGGCTACAATTTCGCGCGGTTGTGCGTGTCGTCATGAGTGGAGGAGAGCGCATCAAAGCTTGTACAATACATCGAGGGGAGGGCAGAAAACTGTCGGACGGTACACCAGTCTGTTCACCTGTAGTCCAGTGAGTGTCAGGGCTGGGTAAAATTGACACAAGATGGCACGCGCACGAGACCCAGACTGCGCCTGGCGGAGGGCGCCTTGATTGATGACAAGCGATTGTCTATGCCCACAAGCGTACGATGACCACAAGCTCGCCACGGTGTTGGCACCAACGCCCAAGAACGGGCCTTTTTTGTATGCCTAAGCAAAGCAGGAAAAGGCCAATATTTACCTGGGGACACACAGAGCCGGCTTGAGTGCCGATTCTTGGTCGCGAGTGAGCAGCCTAGCGGGTGCATTTATCAAGCCGTGTTAGGATTACAAACAAGAACTATTCATGGCCGGCAAGCAAATGCTTTTAATTCTCATACCAAAGGACAAGCGTGCCAGCATCATCGATCGTCGAAATTTGATCTTCGCGCTTGAGCAAAAGGAAATGAGTGCGGGGGCAAACGTGAGCGTGCTTTTTTTGGGGGGTTGGGGTTGGGCAGGCGATTCTTGAAGATGCATGCGCCAGGTGCACTTTTCTTACTAAATTCCACGAGGCAGCAATAAACCGCGATCCATTGGTTTCGATTTGCCCATGTGGGTGCGAGAGCATCGGACGATGCTGGGCGTCTAGCTGGCCGGCATCTGTCACTATCAGAGTGGGCTGCGCAAGTGTGTTTGAATGAGTATGGAATGAATGGATAAACGTGGCTCCAAAGTACATGTCGCACCTCTTTGTCAGACCAGAGCATGGCCCATTGCGCGCATGAAGGGCTAGAAATGATTTCATGAAGCACGGCATGGGTGCCGATGGATGGGGAGGACACGGCGTGCACGGTGGCTGCGTCTGCACGAAATTTTCTCGCCTACAGGAGGAGAGCTGCTCTGAGAAAGACGTCTCGTACCGAAGGCGTATGCAGCTAGACGGAGCATTTTGGGAGGTAGGAAAGTACGGGGCGATGGCAAAACTTACGGATGCCATGGCCAGCGCCGGTAGAGTTGGAGGTAATTTTCTTGTTTTTTTTTTTTTTTAAGAAAGCAACAAGTGCCAGGGGTGCAAAGGTGAGAGTCAATCGAGTACCACGAGACGAAACTGCTGCTTGGTTTGCCTGACTGCCTGTGACATACTCTGTGCACACGTGCGTGGGAGGTATAAAAGTTGAGGCGTCTGTGGGTAGGGCAAGCGCCCCCAAAGTGGTGTCAAGGTCAAGCTCTTGGAAGCCCAGTTCTTGCGCCACCCGGGAATGAGTGGAAGAGCGTCTTCGGCGGGGTGGCGATGAGTCCGGTGGTGCAGCTTTGTGCATACGCTAGCACACGGATTAAGAGCAGCAACGGGGGATAGCGGGCTACGGTGAGAGCAGCAGAGCCACAATAGGGCTTGAACAAAACATGAAGAACGACGAGCAGAAATGAAGAGAGAAAAAAAAAAAAAAAAAAAAAAAAAAAAAAAAAAAAAAAAAAAAGGACGGGGGAGAGGGAAGAACGGAGCAACATCGAACCCGCAGGGCCTGTGTATGGTGGATGTACTTGTCAAGCGTGCGACCACGCTGCATTGCGTGCAACGTGCTGGTCAACAGCGCCGTTGACAATTGGCGGTCGTCAGTTGAAGCCGTCTAGGTGTGAAAGGCATGGTGCCCATTTGAGTTAGAAGATGCCGCCAGCGCTCGAAAGCACAATGCCTTCTGGAATACTGAACCAACCGAGACGGAGGACAGGATGAGGTGATTGGTGAGTTTAGCTGCTAAGTCTGAGACGGCATTGAGCTCATGCCAGATGGAATGAATTTCTGCCTCGACTACCTCGGCCACCACGGCTTTGTAAATGTCCTAAGCAAAGTTTCGGTGCATTCACGACGGCAGGCGGCGATCAGCTGAAACTGTGTGAGGCATAGATGGGACAAGCTTTTGGACGATTTACGCGTACCCAGGCTTGGCGGTGAGCCTGGGCATGTGCTAGCAAGGACGCATATTCATCGTCGATTGGAACATCCCAGGGGAGGGTACGCAGCGCTGCAACACGTGGGGTCAAAGGAAGAATCAGAAGCCCATGCTGACTGGTCCACACTCGTGGCGTTGATATCGCGACTGTCTTTGACCGTCCAAGTGCTAACATGGAACGCAAAGGGGATAGGCAAAGCCTACCATGAGTCTCCAGTACTTGGTTGATGATATCAAGGACAATTTGTCGACAGCGGTCGTAGATGGGCCGTTGCCAGCGATCATATTGTTCGCGTCCCTTTGTCAGACGGTTTGTGGGGGCCAGCCTAAAGCCCGATACAACAACCAGCGCTGTGTCAAGCAGGGTCGCGATGAGCTGGAGCCAATTTGTGGCTTGGTGTACCGTAAAAGTTGATCGCGCCGAGCCTGTTCACGCCTGGCTTGGAGACGCTGTTGGTCGCGGGCAAGCTGTTTTTGAAAGCTGTGCAGCCAATAAGATTTGAATGAGCGGCGAGAGAGGTAAGCTTCAAGACGCAGTAGGGAGTCCACCGACCGATGGCTCCGAGAAACAAAAGGTGGCAAAGAGCCGGACCGACCTTTGAATGCTGTCCACGGTTGCGGGGAATCGCGCACTGGCGGTAGGGCGCAGCTCGTTGCGTGCTAAGAGCTGGACATGTTTGGTCGCAAATGGGGTGTCATTGGACAAGAAAAGGAAGGAGAGACGGGTGAGACTGAAACACAGGCCGTGCGCTTACGTGGTGCTTTTGGCGCTGAAGATTTTGGCGGTCCCGCTCGAGTTCAGCTCGGCGCTCCTCGAGCTGGGACAAGAGCGTGCGGCGCTTGGCACGTCGCAATTCAAAGTCCTGCGCGGTGCAGGAAGGCCATTCTCAAGGGAACACGCATGGAAACAGATCCAAGGCAAGCGGGCATGGCATAATTCTGGGCCTCAAACGAGGTTGCGATCTTACCTCTGTGCTGACATCACCACCCAACACGCCCATGTCCTATCAAAGCGGAGGGGCGTCGCATGAGCGGCGCACGCCATTGTTGCTCACGCAGAGTTGGCATGGCCATGTAAGAACATGTGGCCATGGTTTAGCCCTTGCCTGGTCCAGAAGCAGGTGAGTGCGTTCATCTTGCTCCGGCTGAAGATGCTCCAGCAGGTGAAGCTGAGAGTTAGTCCCAACATCAAAATGAGGACAGTCACCTCATTCCCGGAATGCCATGGCACAAAGGGATGTCGTGATGGCATGAGCAAAGCGCCGGTATAGCAGTGTGAAATGTACCTCTTGCTGCACAATGAGCTCCTGGTCTGCCAGTTCTGCCATTTGGCGCTCTAGCGCCTCCACTTCCAGCTGCGATTGGGCAAGGTGTTGCAGCTCTGATTCCAGCTGCGGAGGGCCAGGGCTTGCGGAAGGATCGAGGGCTGCGCCATCCCCCGCCGCTGCTACCTCCCATCCCATGGCGCTCGAACCTTCCTGCTGCGCCATGACGGCCTCTGTGACCAGAAGACAGCCCGACCCAGCAAGCCGCTCAATCTGAGCCCAAGCGTATCGTACCCGACGTCCGACCACTCAGCCGCGCACGGCCATGGTTTGTCACCCGGTGTCGTCAAGCCTAAAACAGCTGACAATCATCATCATCAGAATCATCTGACAACATAATCTGACATTCACGCGGCAGAAGAGAGAGGCACGGGTGCTGCTCCAGCCGCGGCGGCAACTGCAACATCACACACACACCCCATACACACACGCTTAACACAGGCACCACACACACACATCAGCAAAACAGCTCCCACACAGCTCCCAGCTTACAGACACATCCATCACATCAAATCTCATCTTATTCCCACCTCGCCTCTCTCTCTCTCTCTCTCTCTCTCTCTCTCTCTCTTTTCTCTCTCTCTCTCTCTCTCTCGTTTTTTTTTTTTTTTTTTTTGGGAACATTGCATGCGCGTATGCTGGATCTGGGAGCTCTGGTGACTGAATTCCTTGTCTGGGTCCGGCTCGGATCCGACTCGTACTGTCGCATCACGGCTGTTCTTCAAGAGGTCGAGAGCGTGATAGACAGAACATAGCGCCGAGGGCGAGGCGTTGGCCCCAGCAAGGCAAAGGGGATCGTCCTCCTCGATCCCGTCGCGTGCCCACTTTCTCAGCGCCGTACGTCGTGCTCGGTTGCAGTGCGATCCGTGGTTGTATTCTTGTGGTGACGCGCAACAACCCGCAGTAGAGCTACCTGAACCACACTGTGCGTACAGAACGACCCGGAGTTGAAGCCACTTCAGCGTGAACGAGCCACGCCACCGCGTTCGCGATTATCAAGTTTGGTACCTGAGCCATGGGGTGCTGCTGTAGCAGTTTAGAGGACACTTCATCCTCGTCGCAGACTCCCCCGTCAAATGCACAACAACAGGCCGAACAAGCCGCCCTCTTGCGCGCGGCACACCGGTCACACCATCGCTCCTCGCGTGCAGCCGAGCGACGCCGAAGCCGGTCCTCACATCAGCACCAAACCGGGCGACACGTTTATGTCGTGTCTGATAACGATGCAGCCTCTTATCCTCCCACCCTGGCCAGCGACGCTCAGACTCGCCTCATGCTGCTCATGCAAGCCATGCATCAAGCCGAGGAACAGGCGGCAGCCGAGGACGCCGCCGTTATGGCCTATCTTCAAAGACAATCGCTCATTGAGTCCCTTCCCCTCACTGTGTTTACCGACGAACACGCTGCCGAAGATGCCTCTGAGTACGTCCATCTTGCTTTGCGCGTTCTCGCACTCTCTCCCACGACCGCGAGAGCCTCTGCCATACCCCAGTCCATGTTTTGATCTCCTCAGTCTTGTTTGTATTCGTTTCTGGGCTGACACTAATATTGCTTGTGGTGATACAGGTGCATCATTTGCATGGATGACATTGTTCCAGGTAACACAGTGCGATTTTTACCGTGCTTGCACCGCTATCACCAAGACTGCATCGATGCCTGGCTCGTCAAGAAACTCGTGTGCCCCGAATGCAACATGGACCTGGGGAAGCATTTCGAATCTTTAATGCACTGAACCATGTCACTTTGCGTACATGGCCCATGCCCGGAACCTGGGCCACACTAGCTGTCGTACTCACACAAGGCCTGCGGTCTATCATTCAATCCGGAGGCGACAGCCCGTGCTCGACCCTTGGCTGTCAAGTACAATTTTGAGACTTTCGATTTAGATACATAGAATGCAACATTCGCAGTTGATGAACTATTATTTGTCTTTTCCAGCTCTAGCAACTGCGGGTTTTCATATTCAACGTCCTGCAGCAACCAACACACAAAGCCCGACTGACGAGGCTTGTCGCAAGTTGAAAATGAAAAAAAGAAAACAAAAAGAAAAGAAAAGGAAAAAGCACTCAAGGAACCCCAAGAGAAATGAAGTCAGTTGAAAAGCGATGCTCGGCATCTTAAACGGTCGCCCACCCGAAGCGTCCAAGGACACGGCCCGTAAGGCGGATTGCAACAACAGTGTTCTTCTCGCTCAAACGCGCAGATACGCCCCCTTCCTCCGCACACAAACATTCACACACATCCACCACAAACACAGGAGCCCGGGTGTGCAAAAAGGTCGGGACAGGCTCGTTGAGCAGCCATCAAAGCCACTAGCGACGAACAGTCTTGGCGCGCTCACGGTCCATCATCTCTAGCTGACGTATCCGCTGAGATATTTCCGTTTGTAGTTGGCGGTCGGTTACCGCGTCTAGCTGACCAATGGAGCGCAGCTTCTCACGATGAGCCCGTCGCTCCTCTACCTCTTGCACAACTGTTTCGGTGGTGCCGGCCAGGGACCAATGCAGCGCAGGTGAGGACAGCTGGCTGGCAAGCAGCCGCGACACAAGCGTCCCGGCGATAAGTGATGAGGCTAGCAGCTGTGCATGGTCACCCACCAATGTCAAAAAGGTCGACTTCGCGGGGCTGGGATTTTCGGGCTAGAGCTGCCGGGGCCGAGGCAGCTGTGGATGCGCGTGAAGATTCGCGACCCCGCTGCTTGATGGACTGCGTGTGAAACGTCGAAACAGGCCATGAGCGAGGGGGTTTGCGTGAGAGGCGAGAGCGCATACCCGCCACACCTAGGACCACCCACCTCTTTGCGATCGGCAGTTTCCCGCCCAAATGCCATAATATCGTAAAAACGGTCCTTGGCGTCTTCACGAGCAGGGCCCACTATGGTATAACCATGCGCGAGCACACGTGAGCCGCGAACATTGGCTGCCAATCATTCTTTCTGATCGACTCTTTCTGCGAGCGACGTCGGCGCGACCACGCACAGTCATGGGAGTGGTAGCGTTCCCGTGCGTAGCCTCGGGTTTGTTCGAGAATGTCACCCTGACGTCGGCGCGTACTGGTCGGGGGTCCTCGGAAAACAGTCTATCCGGACGAAAAGGACAAGACACTCGTGAGCCGTCGGCTCAACGGGCAAAGCTTCTTGTTGGCACCGAGTCAAACAAACCTTGGGCTTGGGCTTGGGAGCAGGTGTGGCGTCTGGCTTGCTGGTGGTTGGCTTGACTTTGGTAGGCAGGCTAGTGCCACGCTGAAGCGAGCCATTCAGTTGCCTTTGCTGAAAGGGCGTGAGGCCTGCATCCTTCATCATGCGCTGCACAAGCGCCTGGGTGTCCTTGCTGATAGCAGCCATGCTGGTGGCGATTGTAGGTAAGGCTGGGCAACACGGCCAAACGCAGATCCCTCAACGCCACGCAAACGATATCGCCCACTCCTTGCCAGTCTGCAAACGGCCACGGGCTTCACGTCTCTCCCTGCGTCTCAAGTCTCAAATCCGGCTGCCGTCGGAGAGAACAAAAATGATCGTGTGTGTGTGTTGTGTGTGTGTGTTGTGTTTGCTAAACAAGGTCACCCCCAATTTTTTTTTTTTTCGTGCCGGATGTAACAAATTTGTAAGGCAAAGAGACTATCTGGCTCTGCATTTGAAAGTAAAATACATGATGACCATTGTCATCCAAATTCACAGTGTTGTTGGATTTTATTTCATCTCTCTCTCTCTCTGTCTGTCTCTCGTCTCTCGTCTCTCTCTCTCTCTGTCTCTCTCACCAAACGGGCAGTGGCGGACGGAGCAAGAGAAGAGGGGGGCAAGTCCTTGCAAGGGTACCGGGGTACTTCTTGTCAAGGTTGCAAAGGGTGATGGGGCGAAGGATTGCGCTGATTTGAGCATCAAGGGCTGGGTTTCAGCCAGAGCATTGAAGGAACGAGTTTCGACGGTGGCGCGTACACCAGGGCTGGCAGAACGCGCGCGCGCACACACACTTTGCCGGCCGATCTTGGGCGCAACACGTGCGGCATCGGTCGAATTAGCAGCAAGCTGCAACCACCTACTGCTATTCAGGGTTATTCATGTTGGCTGGGAAGTCCGGCAGGCCATATTTTGGCTGGCTTGTGACACTTGCTGCCGCGGCTGCGGCGCTTATCCTCTTTGCCAACATGGCAAGTCCCACGGTATTCGTCGTGGATATTCTGGTCACGCTTGGCCTCTGTGGCTTGGCATTTCGCCATTACGGTCGCTTTTCCAGCAACTGGATTGTCACAGCCGTGGTGCTCTACACCTGGTTCCTCTCCTCGGCCATTGTGTTCGTTCTACCCATCGACGTCTCCTCGGTATGGCAACATTGCCCACGCAAAGGTGTCCGCATTGCTTGAGCGAGATCCCCACGCCCTCTGATTCACCGTCTGTTTGAATCGTGCCACCCAGACATTTTACTGGAATTGCCTACGGGATTACTTTTGCCTGGCCAATGGCAATGCAAGCGTTCCGCTCAACGTGACGGGCTGCCATCACGACGACGTCCTGCTCAACGCCTCGCTCCCGGATTTGTGCAGCTCCCTCGGTATGCTACGCAAACATGCCGGCCTTGTATCTGGAAAAGAAAGCAAGAGCCCAAAAAAAGAAAAAAAGAAAAAAAAAAAAAAGCGCCGCACGTAGATTCTGGTTTGTTGCCGACTCAACCAGGGTACTTGCACCTCACCTTGCACTGCTTGTTTGTGCGCTAATCTGGCAGAGGATTGCTCCTGCTCGCGGCCCTGGTCATATGTCTCGCCCCACGCCTTGCCAGTCTTCTGGAAAGTCATCTACTGGTCCTCTCAGGCGCTCTCCTGGTTGATCCTGCCGATTGGCCAAACGTATTTTACGGCCGGCGACTTTACCCCGGCCCAAAAGCTCAAGACAGCGCTGCGTGCAAATGCCGTCACCTACGTTTCGCTCGGCGTCATTGCCGCCATCTTGCTCATTTACATTGCTATTCGCAATGATCTTGACTCGGCCGGCCTTGAGCAAATCATCATCGCCGCCTCCAACACATGGGGCCTGCTTATGGTCGTTCTCATGCTGGGCTACGGTGTAGTGGATATCCCCCGCCTCATGTGGCGTCGTGCCGACATCGAGCGTACGCTGCGCCTCTACTACTATCGTGTGGCGAGCATTAATACGGAGCTCATTGAAGCCGAGGCCGAACTCGACACCACGCAAAGCGATTTACTGGACATTGCTGGCCAATGCCCCACGGACAGTCCGCTGCGAGCCTATCTCAACCTCATCCTGCTCAAGTGTCCGGCTCATGCCGATGGTGCAATTGACTTTCAAGATGCAACACCATCCCGCAAGGCATCGGCTCGTTACTCCGGCGAGCTGACTCAAGCCAGCCTGGCCGATCTTCACGCCAAGGTCAACAGTCGCGTGACCTTTTCCTTACCCTGACCACCGCCCGCTCGCCCAGCCTGCCGTCCGACCGTTCCACCCTTTTATTACAGCCAGTCTCAGTCGTGTGCCCCAAACCCCCGTCGACCTTTGTGGGGTCAACGTTATATCAATGGCAGGTCATCAAGCTGAATGGTATCATCAAGCGTTGCAACACTCAACGCCAGCACCTAATCGAGCGCGTATGTAGATCTTTTTTTTTTTTTTTTTTTTTAATTTTTGCGCCACGCCTTGACGCTTCGGCTCCTATTCCTCCGAGCCCACCGCTGCTCAACCGGATTAATCTGGACTGCTGTGGAATGTAGGCCATTCACTTTGAGGACGTCAAAAAACAGCGCAACAAGGCAGACCACAAATTTTCCAGTACCGCAGGCTCCAGCTATGAGGTGTGTTGCTACAATCTTCAGCCTTGGGAACAAGCATTTGCTTTTGCTTTGACAAGCTCAGGGTTTGTTCGCACATGCCTGCTGACAGGGTTGCCTCAAGAACCATTGGCCGACCATTCAGTGGTATTGGTACATCAAGGTGTGTATCTTATGCAAGCGCGGCTCCTTCTTGCTCCTCACTTTCTCCTGACGTGCGCCCGGCTTGGACACCGACTCGTCTCCCTGCATTGGCGGCTGCCTTGGCGCTTTCTGGTTTTCTGGTGTAGATTCGGCCCGTCTTGTACTTGGCAGCGGCAGTATTTTGCACCATTCTCTCCTTGATTGTGGTGTGGTCAGAAGTGCTCTTCTTCACCACCTCTCCCACCATGAGCATTTATGCTCTCCTCCTCAATCACACGGGCGATTCGGGCTATTATTTTAATATCGAAGTCATCACTTTCTTCACCCTCTTCTACCTGTCCGTGTGCACGTACCGCGTCGTCTTCAAGCTGCGCATTTTTGATTTCTATCAGCTCGTGCCTCATCAACAGACTGACTCGGCAAGGTGCGTACGTCTCGGGCATGCCGGGTTGCACCGCGTCCCGTTTTGTTTTGCTTCTCTGTGCCACTGACGCATCGGTCGTCGGGGATGTCACAGCTTGATATTTTCTGGCCTGCTGCTCTGTCGTTTGACGGCCCCACTGGGCCTCAACTTTTTATCCATGTCGCATTTGGATGCTCACGTGGTGAGCGATGTGGCCATCACCCAGGTATGTAGCACGTACAGCACTACCGGCTCCTTACATCCGCCTCAGATGCACGCCGTGCGTCCGTGATATGACTCTGCACCACACCCCATTTCTCGCTTAGCCGACGGCCTTTACTCGCGTCATGGGCCACATGGACGTTGTCGCCTTTATCAAAGATTTTGCCACCTACTACCCCATCTCCATGTTGATAGTCAGGTGCGGCTGACCAGCGGTCAAAGACATTTGGGTGGTGCAAGTGCCAGTACGTTTGAAAGCTGACTGGCACTGCATTTTGCATGGCTGACGTGTTGTCGTGTGCTGTCTTGCAGTTTGGCAACTCTTCTACACATTGGGCCCCGCCTGCTGTCGCTCTGTGGCTTTTCCAGTTTCATTTCAGAGGACGATGACGCATCGGTGCGTGTGTTTGTTCATCCGGTGCTTTGGCTTCACTTTACTGCGTGTTTCTCCATCATGCTGGCTGACGGTACGGTGTACTACTCCTTCCATGTGTCATAGGACACGGTCACGGAAGGGCGTGCGTTGGTCCGCACTGAGAAGCGTACGCAGTTTCGGCGCGGTCCGCATGCCTTGGCTGTAAGTGTAAGAGCGTTTCAGGCCCCGCTTAGCCCCCCAGCCACACCGAATGACGAGAGGCTTCTTCGGTGGCAACTGCAGGCCAAGTATTTGCGCCCGTCGCGACTGGATGACACCAGCGCAAGCGCCGAAGCTTTGGATGACGACGAGGAAGAGACGTTGGGATCGGTCACCGCTCCATCTAGTAGGGTTCTCGTTCGGCCCGTTTGGTTTTCTTGTCTGTGCTTCGTCGGCTCTGTTTGGACTCGGCAGCACCTCAACTCAGAAAAAAAAAACAAAAAAAAAAAACCCGTGCGTCATCCTTTGATGCGCTTGAACGCATGGTGTGAATTTGGGTGTAGGTCGCGTGTCGCGCTTTGTGCAATCGGTCCGCAGCGGTCGCAAAGCCGAGTACGTATTGGTTTTGCTTTCAGCACAGCACAGGCGTTGGCCTTGGAGGAGAGTCTATTCATTCTGTACTGATTTTTTTTTTTTTTTTTGTTTGTTTGTTGGCGGGCTAGGCGAACCAAGCCGTCGTTTGGCCTTCGGCAATTGCTGGGGCTTTCGCCCGCTCAGCCTCTTGACGAGGATGAAGAGGAATTGCTACCCGCAGAGTCCTTGGCTGAGCCAAACTCAAGGTCAGTGTCTCCTTTTTTATTTGTTGATGCTTTTGCAATGCCTCGTGCTCATTTAGGATGGTAACGGGCATGGGTGTTGCAGGGCTTCGCGGTCTCAAGGACCGCCGCGCAACCTCTTCAATTTTTAATCTTTGAACGGATCGTTTCGCTTTGGCTCCACCTGCCTTCTGGGCCTCAACGGACGCCCTGCCACCTGTACAACATGGCATCGTCATAGCACCAAATGCATGAGAAGAATTACATGTAACATAACAACGCATTTAAATTTGTGCGTGAAACAAAATCCAGTGTGTTTTGTCTTGATCTTGTCAGCAGTCAATTGTCTTGTCTTAACTAGTCAAACCGTGCCCCCTGTGTGCCGTGCCCCCTGTGCCCGTGCCCGTGCCCGTGCCCATCCTTCTGCTGAAGCTCACTGCGCACCTGCATCATGCTCGGACGCAAAATTAACACCAAGCGGGGTAGGTGTGCTGTGGTGGAGAGTGTCGGCGACAGAACCATGCATCTGTTCGTTCAAGGGGTTAATAAAACAGGAGGAGCGATGACCAAGACCGTGGCCAAGGCCGTGACCCGATGGCAGGGTTGAATCTTGCGAGACAGCCAGCATGATCCTCGCACGCGCCAAACGGAGCTGCTCACTCGCCCTTTTATTTTTTCATGGGACAATGTACGACTTCAAAAGCGTCGTATCCACCACACCAAGCGTGGTGTCCGCTCAACATTCTCTCAGCCAATTGTTTCGGTCAGGCTGTTCTGGTCGTGACCTGCCGTGTTCTGCTGCTCCTCGCAAACGCGACGGCAGCCACGAGGCAGCTACCAACGCCGCGACTCTGTTGCGGCAAAAGGGTGTGCCACAAATCCTGATTCGTGTTCTCGGTTGTAGCTTTGACATTTGTGCTGTGGCACCTCTCCTGTTGGCTGTGCATTGCGCCGAAGGCGGCGCCGCTCAGCTCGCCGCGCTGCTCAGCTTGCCGCGCGCATACGCAAAGAGCACCGTACGAGGTTTTGGAAGCAAGTGTGCCAGCAGTTTTGGCAGCGGCTCCTGTTTGTCCTTTTTGCGCCGCCAACTGCCTTGGCTGCGGTTTGCCCACCCTGGTCATTTGTGGCGAGAGACCGCTCTCAGATTAACGCCAATATGCACCCTCTGACCCGGCGCATCATGATGGGCGTGTGGTTCCTGTGCGCCGTAATCTCAGCAACGGTGTCTTTACTCGCCTTTGGAGCGCCCGATTGGGTGGTGGCGAGCAATACCACAGTCGTACTGGATGCCGGGTTTGAGCAGGTCTCGCTCGGTTTGGTCCTGGTGTGTTACCAGGCGGATGGGGAAGCCACAGAGCAGTGCGGGCGCTACGGCGATGGCCTGGAGGACATCCCTTTCCTCATCTGGCGCTTGTCTGCCTTCTTTTACGGCATGGCCCTCATCACGACCTGGCTGGTCGTACTCCTCTCCATTCTGACCCTTTGCTTTCCCTTTTTGGAGCGCCTCCTGACCTCCACCCTCGTGTCAGCCGGTAAGATGGTGACACGGCCCTTCTTGATGGCTTCACGTTGCGTTTGGCCGGATGCTCACGGCGCGCGTACTTCTGCACACGCTCATCCTCCCTGTTTCTCGCCTTGCCGTGCTGCCGTGGTCCTGCGCTGGCAGCCACTTTCTTCGTGGTGGCGGTGCTGGTGTTTGCAGCTGGTGTGGCAGATACCGACTCAAAGGGCGACGAGAGCGAGGTGTTTGCCTTGTGTACAGGTGCCCAGAGCTTCGATCCCGGAAGCTGCAAATTTGGGAATGCATTTTACACGGCCATTGCAGCAACATTGATTGCGATCTTCACCTCAGTTTTAGGACTTTTGGCTCGTGCCCGCAAAAGCATTCGACAGTCCTAGTCTTGGCGTACGCGTGCGCGTGTGCATGCATGTGTGTATATGTGTGCGTGTGTGCAGTTGTTGTGACGATGCTGGAACTCGAGGTCTCGCGGGCCCAAGTTTCTGCTCTTTTTCCCTGAGTTTGACGCGAGCGTGCGCCAGGTGCCATGTGCACACGTCGTGCGCTGCCGTTCATGTTATAGACAATTCAACTACCTTCACCTCTTTGATCTTGCCTCGATACGTTGTTCAACGCTGTGGACAACCTGCCTGTTGTCATGTGTCTAGGGGAAGCCGATGCTCTGTCTCGCACCGATTGGGAACAAGAGAGTGAAACCAATTTGGTTTTCCTTGCTCGATTGTCCACCTTCATCATCAGGGTGATGGGCCAGCCTGCTCCACCCACTCGACCCCAAGGGCATGTCCCCGGCCGCTCGCACACATTCGTGACCAGATGCAACAAGCCAGTACAAGGCCCGCGCGACAAGAAAGGGAAAAGAGACACAAGAGAAGAGAGGAGAAGGGCAAGAAGTGGGGAGAGGAAAAAAAATGAGGAAAAAACAAAAACAAAACTCGGAACCAAACCAATCAAAGGGGTACAGACGAGGGACACTCCCACCGCAACAAAGGGTCATCTAATTCATGCGCACATATGCTGCAGGGAAAAGGCCGGTCTCACCATGACATTGGCCCTTCCACCAATCCTTGTCCGAACTGTCGAGAACGGTGATGAAATCACCCTTGCGGAAGCGAAGTTCACCAGCTTCCTCAGGAACAAAGTCATACAATGCTGTTGCTGTCTTGGATCCACCAGCTGGGGCAGCCGCTGGCGCAGGAGCGGGAGCAGGGGCAGGAGCAGGAGCTGCTGCCTGGGCACGAGGCGCAGGGGCAGCGGCGGGGGCAGCACCGCCGATGGCACGACCATCACGGCCCACAGGAGTCTTCAAGAAAATCTCTTCCGTTCGGCTGCGTTTAAAGAGAATCGGGATGGACCAGGTGAGTATGTCGAGCAAGAGACGACGGGGCAAGCGGGGGGAAAAAAGAGGTGTAGCTCAAGCGAAGACTCACCTGACAGAGGCAGTTTTGTGGTAGTTGATGAGCTCATTGAGCGAGTTGAACTTTGTGACCCACAAAAAGTACTTGCCGGCCTCATCGCGCAGAATCTTGAAATGTTGCACCTGCACCTGGCCCATGGGGTTGCTCACACTGGAGGCAGTACAAATATGGGAGGTAAATATGCCGGCCACACGCATGACCGTCGCCCTTCTGATCCTCAACTGGAGGGAGGAGGTGGCGGGAAAGAGCGCACGAATGCACGGCGTACCGGACAGACAGGGAAAAGGTGCCCGGGGCAGTCTCTGATTCGCGAAAAAGATAGGCACAATCCGACTGCACCTCCAACAGGATCTTTTCTGCATCCACGCGCTTGATGCGGCCGTGGAACCAACTGCAACGGAGTCGAGACCACACGTTGACGCCGGAGCAAATGCAGAAGCGGGACAAGTGAGCCTGACCACTGAATTGAGGCACCAGAGTCTGGAATCTTCCAAACGTGTTGCAAAATTGGAAGCGCACGCACCCATGAGGGGAAAGATCCAGGTAGTTGGAAGGGACAAAACCTGTGCGGCCATCTTGTTCGGCCTTGTACCAGTTCTTGTCACTGTCAATGTCGATCACCTAATAAGCATGTGGAGGTAGGCAGGGATGGTATGGGGACGACACCAAGGTTGATGGCGGTGAGAACGTGGGGATGGTGGAAATTTTCAAGGTCAACTGGAATGAGCTGAGCTGACAACGCTATGCGCAGGCAGAACGAAGACGCGGCGTGTGCGGTGCTCGGTCAAAAGTCAAACAAACCTTGAGAATGCTGCCCTTGGTAAAGGAGAGCTCGTCCTGCTGGGTAGCAGCAAAATCATGCAACGCCTTGGCCTCCATATCGACGATTAGTAGGGGCAAAGCGTGGAATGTGTATCAATCACAAAGAGTCCGACGACTTGGCTGTGAGCGGGGGCGAGGTTGAACAACAGCGAGTGTGAGGGCTGAAGCAGAACGGGCCACAAGAATAGTGCTTGCAGCAGAGGCAAGAGGGAGCGAGAGAGAGACGAGCAGGACGCTTCCCCCTTGGACAACTGCCTGAGCCGAGCCAGTTACAAAGGAGAACGCCCCCCGCCCTCCCGGATGGGAAGAGATGGAGAGAAAGCCATAGAGCACGCGAGGGCGAGACGACCGGCCGCATTCGCTGGGGCGTGCGACGAGAACCATACCGAAAAGGCAGAAGCAGCTCCGAGACGTCAACAGCAAGGAGAGGGGAGCAGCCGTAACGTTGCACCACCACCGCAGCAGCTCAAGCGAACAAGGCCGACGTTCTCGACCAAGCAAGAGGAAAGAAGCAGAGCCGTCCGTCCGTCCGGTCCGGTCCGTATGCTGTGCAGTCGTGCGCTCAGTGCTGTGCTGTGCTGTCGTTGGGAGTATGCCCTTTATGTGTGTGTGGGCGTTGTCGTCTTGATCCAGTTGGGACACACACTGATAGAACAAAAGAATCAGTCTGTTGCCTTTGTTGTTGCAAACTTGCTACTACATGTACATGTACACCTTCAGCTGCTGTTGCTGTTAGCTGTTCTAGAACAAACTGGTTGAAACAAAAGAAGAAGAGCAGCGATGCAGTAACAGTTGGTAGTCAGGCGTACGGGGATCGGGTCGAGGCAAGCTATGCATTAGGGACGGGTTTTGTGAATGCTTTTCAAGTTGGTTTTTGTACAGGAAATAATACCCACTTTGGATCGGGCCAACTACCAAATGTTCTGCTGTTGCGGCGAGTTGTCAGCCTTCTTTTGTTAAGGCGCCTTCGGTCTCTCGCTCTATTTTTCCCATCGTTTGGCTTTCAAGCAGGCGAGAGGTAAAGCAGACGGAACCTGCCACGACGACTGCTGCTGCCGCTGCTGCTGCCGCCGCTGCTGCTGCTGTCTGAGACCTTTCTGGATGTGCCGCCCGCACACTACCATTGCGAATGGACATTGGATGGAGGGCATGGGGTGTTGGAAAGGGTCTGGTGGGCTTGGGGCGATCGCAGCAAGTGGCCGAGCTGGAATCAGCCCGTGTGGTCGCAAAACCGGTTCAGCTCTGCTCCAGGTGACGACAATTTCAACAGCAGCGAGGCCCTCGTCCAATTGTCGGAGTGTCCGTGGCCCGACCCTTTTATTACCCTGAACCCCTTTGCCCTTGAACGATTTCCATTTTGCCATTTTCTTAGCTCCTCGAGACTTGCACGGCTCCACAAGCCCGCTCGAAGGTGCCAGTGAGACAGCCAGAGAGAGAGTATTTGTACCTGTACCAGTGGCAGAACATTGACGTTGGTATTAGCATCGGCGGCGGCAGCAACGGCGGCAGCAGCGGCAGCGACTTTTTTTTTTGTTGATCCCCGGCATCTCATCAGGAAGAACTGGGCCAAGTTCTCGTTGTTCTGATCAATGATCGTTTTCTGTGCCGCTTGCAAAATGTAGAACTTTTTGTTGTTGAGCAGAGGTTCAACAAACCAGCGCCATGATGAACCTCTTTCGCCTGATGGGCGACGTGTCCCACGTCCTCGCAGTTTTCATTCTGCTGGCCAAGATCTGGCGTACACGCTCAGCTGCTGGTATGCTCCTGCATCTGTGCCAGTCTTGTCCTGCGACGTGAAGTGCTATCCTGCATTCACCGCGTGCGCGTTAGCCCCAACTCATTTGCCGCCTCTCCCTCTCCCTCTCTATGTGTCTCTCTGTGCCTCTCTGTGCCTCTCCACTGTTGATTATTTTCGTGCTTGGTCTTGGTTCATTGAACAATGACGAATGCAGGTATTTCGGGTCGCAGCCAGATTCTTTTCACCATTGTATACTTGGCTCGCTACATGGACCTCTTCTTCAGCTTCATCTCGCTGTACAACACGGTGATGAAGCTCCTTTTCATTTCCGCCTCGTGCGCCACCGTCTACCTCATCTACTTCAAGTTCCGGGCCACCTATGACGGCAACCACGATACCTTCCGGATAGAGTTTGTCCTCGTGCCCTCGCTTCTGCTGGCCTTTATCTTCCACTACTCGATGAGCTTTTTCGAGCTGGCTTGGTCCTTCTCCATCTTCTTGGAAGCCGTGGCCATTCTTCCCCAGCTCTTCATGGTGACCAAGACGGGTGAGGCAGAAAACATCACCAGCCACTACCTCTTTGCCCTGGGCTCCTACCGCGCCCTTTACATTCTCAACTGGATCTACCGATACTACACCGAGGGGCACTTTGACCCCATTGCCGTGTGTGCTGGCATCGTCCAAACCATCCTCTACTGCGACTTTTTCTACCTTTATGTGACCAAAGGTCAGTGATTCGCACACCCGCCGCTCAAATAAAGCACTGCAGGCAGACAGTGCAGGGCGCAGACGTTCTTTTCTTTTCTTCGGATCACCATGTCCTTCCCCCCCGTGTTTAACCATTCCTCTTGCCGTGTGCCATAGTGTTGCAAGGCCGCAAGCTGCAGGTCCTGCCCTAAGCGGCCCGCACCTCGTTGAAAGAACTTGCCCGCATTTATGGCAAGGGAAACTAAAAAAGAACAGCAACGCCAAAACACAGCCTCCAAAACCAGCAGGGTGTTCTCTTGGCGCTCCTGCAACCCTTATGAATTGACTCACAACCAAATGCTGTTTTTACCTCGGCACCTGCTGTCCTCCAGTGAGGGGCGCGATCAACTCCCGAGCTGCAGCACCCATCAACCAGCTATCTCAAGCCAGGGTGTTACCAAATGTCATACAAGAAAAAGTTGCATCAGCGCAAGAAAGGGGGATGTGTGTGTGATGGGAAATGGGGGAAATGGGGGAAATGGGATGCTTCACACTTTACCCTTAACCCTTACCCTTACCAGCGCGTGTGCTTCCTTTCTCCATTGAGAGCGTGAGTGCCAGCCCCAACGGCAGCCCGCCTGACGGTCAGTCCATGCTTAGAACGCGGGGTTTGTAGATGGGCGGGTGTAAGATTGGTTAAGGGATTGCCATATCGCATCCCGTTGAGGCTCGGGGCTGCTGGTGGTCTTGGTGTCGGGTTGGTATCGGGTGTGTGTCGGGAGATTGCTGGTGCGTGCGGTACAGACAGCTGACCTCGTGTTGATGGCATCCATGGTGGTGGTGGTGGTGATGGTGTTTCCTTTCCAGTCAGGATTCAGCGATCGAGGCATCGGACGGACCGGGCAACCGGCAAGCCTGCTCCAGACTTTCTTCTTCTTCTTCTTCTTCTTTTCTTCTTTTTTTTTTTTGGACGTGCACGCGCGCGGCCCGCATCCCTTTTGACGTGCGAGCTTGACGAAACTGTGCCCGAAATTCGAAGCACCGCCGCCTGGTGAGCTTTGCTGTTGCCTCCTGGCGCCTCATTTGTTGCGCGGATCACGACTGGGCTCAATGTCCCGATCGCCTGCCATGCTAACCTTGCACATTGACTCACCTGACAATTCAATGTGCGCGACGCGCACCCTTGGCCATGCCTTATCGCGTCCTTAGCTTCACGTCCAAGATGAACTTCTTGACGCTTGTACCGCGAGCTCGCGGTCTTGTGTTGTCTCAGCAAGCGTGCTCTTTGCGGGCTCTTCACACGTCTTGGCGAGCCCACCGTTCCCGCGAGGTATGGACTTTGCACTCCAGAATTAGCGCCCCTCGCCGGCCTATTCCATTGGATACACCCGTGACATTAAAGCGGCTTTGCCATAGGATGGCGCACTTCAGTCGTCTGCTGTACGTGCGGCAAGCCTCCCTTCCTCAGCCACCGTGTCCCCATCTGACAATACTGTCCTGAGCGACGGCATTGATGCCGAGACACAATCCTGGGCCCCTACTAAGCAACTGGCTCTCAAAGAGCTGCCCGGTGCCTATGCGCGCCTCACCAAGTTAAAACTCAGTGGTGCGACCCTTGCTCCTTCCATGTTCAACATCGCTTCGGTGTCACTCCTTTGACCATTACGGCCTTACTGATGAACCCCCTCTGGTGTCACCGCCCTTGCCTTCGACCGTGCTTGCCAGCCCTTGTCTTGCTGACTGAAATGGGCGGTTTTGCCTTGGCTCCTGGAGCTTTTGATTGGTCCGCTTTCGGGGTCACGGCCGCTGGCACGGCCCTCTGTGTGGCAGCTGCAAATACGTACAATCAGGTTGGTCCTGCCTCCCGCTTTTTTTTATTTAAAAAATTGTTCCGGGGGTTGAGGTCGGGGCTGCCAGTTTCTCAAGAAGCTGCCGCTCTTCTGAACTTGTTTGGCCATCTCACGGGCAATTGTGTGCCTCCCGTCACAGTGGATCGAGATTCCCTATGATGCACAAATGCAGCGCACGAAGAATCGGCCGCTGGTAAGCGGTGAAATCAGCCCTTTCCGTGCCTGGATGTTTGGCACGGCCTGCGGAATTTCTGGCGTTGCGCTGTTGGCCGCTGCCGTCAACCCGACCGTCGCGCTGCTCGGGGCCGGCAACATTATTCTCTATGCCGGTGTATACACCCCGCTCAAGCGCCATACGTTGTACAACACGGTTCGTTGAAAAGCGTGTGCGCTATTTCTTCTTGTCATTTGATGGTGGGATGGGTTATCATGCGGGGTCGCCTCGACAAAGCAAGACTGGTTGATCGGGCGTTGCCAGGGGGTGATTTGCTCGTTGTTGATCGTCGAGACTCACCCTGGCTCTTTTTATGTATACCCTAGTGGGTTGGATCGCTTGTTGGGGCCATTCCTCCGCTCATGGGCTGGGCAGCAGTTACCGGCTCGATTGATCCCCAGGCGCTCGTGCTGGCTGGCGTGCTGTTTGCGTGGCAATTCCCGCATTTCAATGCGCTGAGCTGGAATCTTCGACCCGATTACTCGCGTGCGGGCTATCGCATGATGTCTGTGACTGACCCGATGCTCTGCCGCCGCGTGGCTCTGCGCTACACCGCGGCCCTCTTTCCCATCTGCATTGGCTCGACGCTCATGGGTACGGCATTGCTTCTTGCATTTTGGCAAAATATTGTCTTCACATCCTATCTACGCCGCCACAAGCCGGGTGCTGGCGAAACCCTCACAGATGGACTACTTCTTGTCTCGTTGTATGCATACAGGCTTGACGGACACAGCTTTTCTCGTTGATTCCAGTCTGATCAACGCGTATTTTACCTACAAGGCCATCCAGTTCTACCGCGAGGGTACTGATACGTCTGCCCGCAAGCTCTTCTTTGCCTCCCTCTGGCATCTACCTGCCACCATGCTCTTGCTGCTTCTGCACAAGGCCACGGATGGTCCACTGGCCCTACTGTTCAGCTAATTTGTTCTGCCAAAATTCGGTTTATGTTTGTCACTCTCGACGTGTTCTACATGTGACAGCTTTGTTTTTGTGTTTGTGTTTTTCGTTTTTGTTTTGTTTGTGTTGACTCATGCAACAAGCAACTTTTTTTTTTTAGTCTTAATTTCTGCACCATCTGTGCTATTGTTTCAGGCGCAATCACGACCAGGTTTGCTTGCGCGTTTCCCATTACCTTTCCCTCGGCGTTGTTGTTCAGGTTAAGTCGGTGACACCAGGAACTGCACCCTCCTTTTGACTGTTCTTACTTACTTCTTGTATGTGGGGTTCCCCCTTGTGTTCTAATTTGGCTCACGCTTTCAGTTTTGATGTGCGCCGCAACCGACCTCGAATGTGCTCGCTTTCTCCTTTTTGTCACCGCAATTGAGGCACTGTTCCTCAGCACCACATGAATTTGCTGCAGTCGCAGCTCTGATGCGCGCACAAGGTTTGTGGATACAATTAGCTTGAAACGGATGTGTACGTAAATACAACTCAGATCAACTTCAGACCCAATCACTGGGCCCCAAATCAAGGGACTCAGACTTTGATATGATGCTCTCTGTAGAGCGAGCTGGTTGCAGGGCCGAGGCAGTGCCTGGCAGTGCGTCGTCCACATCCACAACACGCAGGCCTTGGTTTTCATCACTGGCCGCAGCCACATGCTTAGGGCTGTCTGATGTGGGCTGAACGGCCACGCGTACTGGGGCGCCCGGCGCGCCGGCGTCTGCTTCAGCGCTGGTTACAGGCTCAGCCTGAGTGGGTGCAGAAGCAGCTTGTACAATCGTGGGGGCCGGTTTTGGTGGCTTAAACCGTGGCTCAGGCAGGTCGGGCATTGGTTTGTATCCATTAGCCTCGAGCGCCGCCGCCACATCCTCATAACGAAGTTTGCTCTTGTCCATGGCAGGGATGAGCACGCTCTCGCTCGTCACTTCAATGGGTAGATTGCGCAAGAGCGTCATATGCTGCTGCATGTCGTTGGACGCTAGGAGCTGGGGTCGTAGTAATCGCACAATCTCAAAAGCTGCTACAAAGCTCACCTGAGAAACGGGCAGCGATCACAACGTGAGTGAAGCAAGTGCAGAGGCCGTTTCGTGACGCTGAGGTCAAGGATCCACTGCGGTAGATAGAAGCGAGGCCAGCAAGTCGCTCATCCAAGCAAGGCAAACCATCCACGTACATAATATCCGTCCACGAGGTACCGATCCCAGATTCGCAGCACTGTGGTCCAGGGCAGTGTCTGTGGACAAGGGTTGAAAGCCAAAGGAGTCCCGGCACCTTAAGTGCTGGCAAATGATAATGCGAGGAGGCGGGCGCGGGGTTTCGTATTTTTACCTTGGCAAAATTGCACATGAACCAGTCGACGCCGTAGATGACGGCCATGAGGCCTTCCCCCATCAAGTGGTCACCAACGTCGGGCAGCTATCACCACAACACCAACTATCAGATGGGGGGCCTGTCACGGAAGGGCAGCAAGTTACGATGCAATGGTGATGTCCCATACCTTCTTTTGAAGCAACCAGTCCAAAGCCCCGGTGAAGAGTTGTACGCGTGGCAAACCCTCGGCAAACATGTCCAGCAAGTACTTTTCCTATGGCCAACACGAGGTGAGTCCAACGAGTCGCAAGGGATTGAACCAGAGGATGACGAATCCAAAAGAGGAAGAAGAGGAAGAAGAGAGAGAAGAGAAGAGAGAGAAGAGAGAGAAGAGAGAGAAGAGAGAGAAGAGAGAGCAGGACACTTGGGCGGCTGACCTTGCGAATGAGTGAGCAGAACATCCGGTAGGCATCGTTGCGTAACGCATACATCAGCAAGAGGCCCGCAATCATGCCCATGCCTTGGCAATAGCCCGGTACCGGGTGTTGGTGGGCAAATGCACGCAGCAGTCCTCGCATTTCTACTTGGCCTGAGATGATCGTCTTCTAGGGAGGAGGTGGGGGGGGGGGAATTTATGTGCAGGAGCATGAGGGTGCATGACGCTTGCAGTGTAAACCCAAGAAGGGCAGCAAAGAGCAAGCGTACCGCGTTCGGGTTGGAGGAATGGGCTTGGCCTTGCAAAGCAGCTTGCTCAGGGAGCGCGGCCAGACGAAAGTATTCGTGGTTAGGAAAGGTGCGGTGTAAATCCTTGTCAATGACCTCAAATGAACTGTACAAGGGCGTATCTTCCGCCGGCATCAGGTCTTCAAAGCGCTCCCAGGCATCGTTGAGCTCTGCGTCGGTCGGGTATTGTTCAGCATCCATATCCACAAGCTGGGCTCGCCAAGCTTCACCACGGATCGAGTCGGGAATGCCCTTGAAAGAGCGGGATCTGAACTTTTCGTGTTGCAAGCCCTCCACTTGAGCTCGGGATTGGCCGCCCCGAAAGTTGTTTAGGTCCAGCATCTTGCGCCACTTGATCTCGCGCTGTCGCACTGTTTGTAGGTGTTTCTTGGTATGGCGCCGGTCCCGTTTACCCGAGCCCTTGCCTTGCCCAGCTGCAGCCGCCTCATCGGGCCGAATGGTAAAGCCAAACGCATCGACCTCCTCAGCAATTGCGGCAGTTGTCTCGGCCTCGGGCATGTTGGCAGATCCACAGACTGACGCCGCAGATCCCGTCTTGCCGGAAAAATATCAAGCGCAACACCACCACCCTGTGATGGGGTGCCCCTTACCCGCCCAGCCCCTTGCGTTATCTTGACAAGTACAAGAAGCAGACAGCTTGTCACGTACGGAGGCAGGGCCGCTGGCACCCGCGTCCCACAGCCCCCTAGCCCACTGTCCCCAAGGACCGAGGAAAAAAACAAAAACGCCGCTCCGCCCCCTGTGTGTGTGTGTGTGTGTGTGTGTGTGTGTGTGTGTGTGTGTGTGTGTGTGTGTGTGTGTGTGTGTGTGTGTCTCGCTGTCTCTCTCTGTCTCTCTCTCCCTCTGTGTGGTCTCTGTCTCTGTCACTGTCTCTTCTCTCTCTCTCTTTTTTGTGTGACGTTGTTGTTTGCTGGTTTTCTCTTACTAATGCTGATGTCTTGGCATGGCAGATGCTATCGCGATTTTCTTCAGTTGTTGCGTCTAAAGTTGTGGTTTCGCTTTTAAAGGTGTTGGCATTGGTGTGAAGAACATGTCGCTTAAATGGCAGTTATAGCAGAGCACACACTTGCGACGGTTACTTTTTTTTTTTTTTTTTTTAGTTGCTTGACGTCGTTTCAGTTGTTGTAGGCAGCGCTCTGGCTGGTTGGAGGTCGTGGCAGCAGCTTGGTTGTCACTGATGCATCTTGGGCTCAGCACCTGGGTCATGCTGGGGTAATGAGAGGTACTGAATCACGCGACAGGACAGGTTGAATGGCACAACCACAACCGCCCGAGCAGTGGGCTTGCCCGGCCTGCACGCTTCTCAACAACGTGCTATTACCTCGTTGCACGTTGTGTGGGGCAGCACGGCCGGCTTCAATCAATGCCAAACGCCCCGCGTCCTCCCTCGATCGCCTTCAAGCACCGTCCCGTAAAATCAGCAGGAACAAACCAAAGCTGAGCACCGCTTCGAGCCAGCCTCAAAGCCCTGACACCAGTGCTGCCGCCAAAGGCGCGGGTTCCGGTGCAAACACGACCGCTGTCGCCACCGGCGCTGCTTCCGCTTCTAAAAACAGACCCAAGAGTGGGTCCAAAGCCAGCGTCAAGGCTGGCAAGACTGGGACCAAGGCAAATCCGACTCAACGTCGTGGGTCCGACCGCTTTGGCACCCAGCGCGATGGTACGCCCACCTATCGGGCGCTGCATCACCTTTATGAGCAAGGCCGAAGTGCCACGGAGCAGATTCGAGCTCCTTTCGAACACGGGCCTTGGCCCAAGGTCATTGGCGAGTGTATCGTACAGGGCATAGCCAACCGTAGTGGCCGTGGTTTGCTCAGTGCCGGAGACGCTCTGAGGTTCTCTTACAGTTTGCCCGACAAGCGACATTCACACCATGGCACGGTCACCTTCGGACGTGATCATGAGCTGGGTACTCTATCTACCCAGGCGTCTCTTTGGCTTGGGCCTCTTCTGGCGGCGGGAGCCGTCCGCCTAACGGGCACCGCCATCTACCTCAAGAACCCAGAAAAGCTTTCCTTCTCCGATACCATCGACATTTCCATCACCATCTATGGATCACCCGTGGCCTTTCTCCAGCGCCCCGACGAGGCCTTTGCGGGCAACGTCGCAACAGAGGGCCTCGAGGTGACCATTATCACGCGCGCCTGGCAGGCCTGCTTCACCAACTGCGGTTTCATTGACGCCAATGCGCATGGCGGGCCTGCTCTGCGACGACCATCCACTGCAGATGCCGCCACTGATTCTACACAAGCAGACGAGACGGCGGACAGGGACGGTGCTCAGGACGAGGAGGGAGAGGAAAACAATGACCTCCAATTCATATGCGAGCAGTTGGGCCTCGATCAGACGCTGATGCCCACGCTTGAACCGCACGCTTGCGTTAAGAGCACTCTTCGACCCTACCAGAAACAGGCTCTCTGGTGGCTGGTGTCGCGCGAGCAGCTCTCGGCTAGTGCCCGCGATACTGGCCGCGAACGCCAACTTCACCCTCTGTGGCAGGAAATGCGCTTTGCCAGCGGAGATGCTTTTTTCTGGAAACAGGCTGGCGGGCGCGTTTCCGTATACTTTCCACATGCTTCACAACAGGCGCGTGGTGGCATTTTGGCAGATGCAATGGTGCGTTGTCGAGACATCCTGCGTTTTATGAACCGTTGGCCAGAGGGGCTGTGTCATTTACATGCCAGATAGCGAGCGCTTAGCGTTTGCTCGGATTTGATCCATTCAAGTTAAGCATCGGGCTACCGTCTCGCGACTTCATCTGACCTCCTGTGTTGATCTGTTCCCAGGGGTTGGGCAAGACCGTTCAGTCCCTCGCGTTAGTGGCTACACAGCCGGCGCCACCATCCTTTATTGCGAGTCACCATGACTCGGCAGCGAGCAATGCCTCGAGTGCCGAGCCGCTTCTTGGTGCACCGACGCAACGAGCTCGCGATAGCCTTTCACTTGATGAATTTCTCGATGCGCGGCCTACGCGCAGGTCAAGCGATGGCTCAGAGGCAGCGTCAGCCGTCGGCAATGCTCTGGCCAGCTCCAACACATCAGGAATACCTGGTAGCAAGGCCACCCTCATCGTTTGTCCCGTGTCCCTGCTATCACAATGGGAAGAGGAGGTTCACCAACACCTAGAGGGCATGAAAGTCTTGCCGTATCATGCTCAGCGTTCTACGGTTACCCCCGCGCTCATATGGACCGAGTACGACGTTGTTCTGACAACCTACGGTACGTAGATGTACTGCAGGCTTGACTGTTCATGTGGGAATCGGGTGACGCATCGGCACGGGCCCCTCAGTCTGTGGGTGTGACCTTGGTCAGGCGTGGTGACTTCTGAGCACATGCAACACTTGCGGGGTCAGACCTCTTTGTTGTTTGGGACACACTTTTGGCGCATCATCCTGGATGAGGGTCACATGATCCGCAACCGCAACACTGCAGGTGAGATGAGGCATTTGTTTCGTCGGTCCAACCTGACTCGCCGACCCATCAGCACTTGCGCAACTCTGTTCGAATAATCTCAGTGCTGGTGTGGACCCGCATTGCAGGCGCTCGTGCTTGCCACGAACTCTCCGCCCGTAATCGTTGGGTCCTAACGGGTACTCCCATCCAGGTTTGTTTGCTTGCTTGTTTGTTTGTATGCGTGTTCGTTCGTTCATGATTATGTAAAATTTCATCGTTTCAACCATGGCGGCGGCGGCGGCGGTTACTCCACGCCGATTTGACGAGCAACATTTTGATGTAAACTCCGCTGGTGGTTGACACTTTAGAACCGGCTGGAGGATGTGTACTCTCTGATTCGTTTTTTGCGAGTGGAGCCCTACGCGCACTTCTCGTATTGGCGACAGCACGTGCAAGAGCCCTTTGAGCGCGATGAGGACGCTGGGATCAGCGCCCTACAAAAGATTCTAGCCCCTCTCTTGCTTCGGCGCACCAAGCATACCAAGGACGAGACTGGATCGCCCATCGTGCAGCTCCCCTCCTCGTCGGTCGAAGTTCTGATGCTCGAGTTCTCATCCGCTGGTAAGGGCATCATCACCCATTCCATCGACAAGCTGATTTGCTAGTTGCAATCACACAGAACTTTTTTTTTTTTTTTTTTTTTTTTTTCAATGTCAACCGGACGTCTGTGCTCTTAGAACGCGAGTTTTATGATGCCATCTTTCAGCGCTCCAAAAACAAGTTTGATGAATTTCAGGCCGCTGGCAAGGTCAGGGAGAGATTTCGAATCCGTGACCGTGATGGCGTTTGTGAAATGCAGCGTAGACCATTCACATTGGGGGTGTAGGTGCTGAACAATTATGCCAACATTTTGGAGTTGTTGCTGCGCCTGCGGCAAGCCTGTGACCACCCATTCCTCACCCTGCGCAACATGACGCAAGAGGAAGAGGCAGCGCGGGAGGATAAGCGTATGTTGGCGCTTACCCGATAGTCGCAGCGTCCTGGCTTGCGGTCCAAAGGGCCAGTTCCTGGTTTTTGAACTCAATTCTGACCCTGCTCAAATCATAGGCCTGCGCACACAAGCGCGACAGGGCGTGTTCTCTGACATTGACACGCTGGTCGCCAAGTTTATGTCTGACTCTCGTCAGGTTGGTTTAGTGTCGGCATGTGGTGCCATCTCGTTGTGGCGTCGTGTAAAAGCCTCGAGAAATACACACAAGCTCGTCTGCTGGAACCTGTGTGGCAGGGAAATGCAAGCCTTCGTGCAGACCACGTGGCAACAATGGCCGAGGATTTACGTTATCTCCTGCAGCGCAGCAGCCATGGCGCATCGGCGCAACAGAATCAAGGTGCGCAGGGTATCATGTTTTTAGTGTGCATCTGCCGCGGCGAGCAGCGAGCACAGCGATTGTATTCGTCTTGCAATATGACGGCACTGCATGCTCTTTAGAGACCAAAGCAACGGAGCAGGCCCCACCCGAGTGCTCAGTGTGCTTGGACACAATTGACGAGCCCGTGGTAACGCCCTGTGCGCACTATGGGTGTCGGGTCTGCATGGAGAACGCTGTGGATAAGTACGTCAAAATTCTCGCAGCAGTTTACTGATGCGTGGTCTTGTGCTTGCTCATGGGATGCTTCGATCATCCTATTTGTTGTTTCAGCTTCCATGAATGTCCACTGTGTCGCAAGCCTTTGCAACGCTCGTCACTATTTCGCATTCAAGCGCCCGATCCGGACGTTGAGAGTGCGGCCACCGCCCCACCCAACGAGGACGATCGGCAACACTGGCTGTCTTCCAGCAAGCTCAAGGCCTTGCTGGCCGATCTTGACGCGGCAACACAAGTACGCACACATTGCCCCCCATCAACGCACCTTTTTGCATTGAGGAAAAATGACAGGAGCAAGTCGTCCGTTGCATTCAAGATCTACACTGATACCCAAAACTTGAATTCCGGCACGATAGCAACCTGATCGGCCAAAAGTGATTGTCTTCAGTCAATGGACTTCCATGCTGGACCTAATAGAGGTAGGGCTGTTGCAGGCTGTCATCTTGAGCCATGTTCTCCGTTGTCAAAACCTTTGGTTCACTTCTCTGAGATTTTGAGGTTCAAATTCTGCAAAGATTCCTCTGACCTTCCTCCGATCCCCCACGCCAGCAATCCCTGGAGGGCACTGGACTTCAACACGTGCGATTAGACGGGAGCATCCCCCAAGTGCGCCGCGCGCAAGTTCTGAATCGTTTCAAGACAGATCCAGACATCCAGGTAGCCGCACTCTGAAAGATTGGGCTCCTCCTCTCCTGTGCCGATTTCGCCCTTCTTCATCTTTGTCATGCCGTTGTCGCCCAGGTGTTTTTGATGACGCTGCGTACAGGTGGGGTGGGGTTGAATCTGACGGCAGCCTCGCATGTCATATTGGTGGATCCCTGGTGGTCACCGGCCGTGGAGGCCCAAGCTATTGATCGTGTCCACCGAATTGGACAGGATAAGCCTGTCACCATTAAGCGCTACATTATGCGGGATTCCAGTACGTAGATTGGGTGGCCGTCGATTACCCCGACCTCTCACCGAAACAGGGTGTACATGATTCTTGCTAACAGTTGGAGTATGATTGTCATCTCATGCGTTGCCTTGCTCATTGTGCAGTTGAGGAACGTATCTTGGCGTTGCAGAAGAGAAAGCGTGCGCTGGTTCATAGTGCCTTAACTCGCAATGGTTCGTCTGCACACAAGCACTGAGAGCTTCCGTACGAGCAGCAGCAGAACCTCACCCCGCATGTGACATCCTTCTCCCCGTGTCCCACGCAGCGACGGAGCGGCAAGCAGAACGCATGTCCGACCTTAAGCTGCTATTTGGCCAATTCTAAACGATTTGACCTCTCGAAAATCGATGAAGAACACAAATGAATGGGACAAGAAGGAGTTACAAAACAAAAGCTGCTGTCATAAAATGTCAGATAAAACTTTTGAGTGAGAATCATTGTTATTTATATACAATATTTAAGGTATAGTATCCTTAATGGAGCAGTCCATTGGTTTGCGGTGTTGTGGCCGAGTGGTTAAGGCGTGAGATTTAGGCTCTCATGTGTTCGCACGCGCAGGTTCGAACCCTGTCAACGCCAGCGCATTTTTTTTTGCATTTGCTTAAGTTAGCCTTGCCCCGGCTGGAAGACCAAGCTCTTGGCATTGGACTGATGTTTTTGTTTTTGTTTTCGTTTCGATCTCTTCAAAAGTGTCAATTAGTGGGAGCAGGCGGGGCACAGCACCGCTTTTCCCATGGTGGATGCTGGCATGGATGGTACTCGTACCATCAGAGCCTGGTTGCGGGTCCTAATGAGTGTGCTCTAGTCGGCAAGAATGTCCTTATCTTGTGACATGACAGGCGCAGGCCAGACATTGCCCTGCAGCGCCACCTGCTGTGGATGCTGCACATGTTGCGCAGGCGTCTGAGAACAGTTGGGCAGGGGGCTCACGTCGTCAAAGGTGCCATCAAAGTTTTCGCAGATAAAGGAGCTGGTCGGCCAAGAGCCTCCCTGAACATGCACGTTTCGAAAAACCATGTTTGTGCAGGGGTTTGAGGCATTGCAGCTGTACACGGGGCAGCCAGCGAAGATGAGTTGCGGTGAATAAGGGCTGGGGGAAGAAAACGATGTTCATCGGCAGCGTCAGGCGATGGGGCTACAACTGGGAACCAACCGAAGGATGCCGGGGGAAAGAAGGGCGTTGGTGGCGTTGATGTCCTCCAGCGTGATGTCTGAGATGGTGATGCGTGGGTTGGTGGGACAGTCTGGGTTGAGCGGGTAGATCATGCAGCCAGGGCCATGACCATCAGGTTGCTTTTGCTGCTGGGGCCCAATGTAGATGGACCACCACAGCGGGTTTTCCATGGTCAGGTTGCGGTAGGTTACATTCCGAATGACACCATAGCCATCTAGATGGCAAGAGCAGAGGAGGGAGGCGCGCGAGGAGTCCATGCCCCAACATGAGAGGCAGATCGAGCATGTGGGTGGCACATTCTTCGAGGTGTGGCAAGCCGGCAAATGCAGCTGACCTTCGCCAGGGTTGGTCTTGATGTAAACACCTTTGATGGGAGCTTCAAAGCGGATGTTTCGAAAGAGAACGTTTTCCACGCAATTAATCTAGTCCCGCGAATGTGGAGGCAAAGTCAGTGACAGTTGAGAAACCATGTGGCCCAAGCAAGAGCTGATGTACTGGGAGCAGGGCGTACCCCAAGGTTGGGCGGCACCGAGCCGATGGTCATGCCGACGCCAAAGCGCACGGTCGAGTTTTCGACCAGGTAATCTCGAGAGCAGTTGCTGAGCACAAACTTGGAACTGGCGGGCTTGATGGCGACGGCATCATCAAAGTTTTGGATGGTCACGTTGTAAATGTGGACTTTGGTTCCCGCGGGATCGATGCCATCAGTGTTGAGGGGAAAGGTGGGGATGCCAATGGGCAGGGGTGCATGCGCCTCGGTGGTGAGAAGCCCATGATTGGCCAATAGCTCGCGCTGCGCTTCAACGTCCACCTCAATGGAAATGCCGTGAATGGTAAAGTTGTGAATGTCGTGCAGGCGCAGGTGGAATTGGGCGCTATTCTTGAAGCGGAGGTTGGCAATCTCCACGTCTTGGCACAGGTCCATGCAAAGCATGTGTGGGCGGGTGTGAATAATGTTGAGAATGATGAGCCACCACCAGTCGTAACCCTGCCCGTCCACTACGCCGCTGCCGGTTAAGAGCAAGCGGCTGCAGTTGGTAAACTGGAAAATCGGCAGTGAGTTGTTGTGATCATCCGTGGGCCACAGGGACATGTTCAAGGGAGCTATCAACTCGCCATCGATCTCAAAGGTCAGGTCGTGCAAGCCGGTATAGCTGCTCGGCGCCATGTAAAAGGTGGCAGGGGGCACATAGACGGTGCGATCAGCCCCCAACGGCAGCTGGGACGCGTTCTGAGCGGCTGCCATCAGCGCCGCGGCATTGCGCGTGGCCACATAAAAGTTGTTGCTGTTTGGCACAGCCCCAAAGTCCAAAATACTGACGCGTCCTGTCACTGCCGGCATGCCCGCGACGAGCAAAACCAACAGGCACGCCAGCGCCAGGCGCACGCGCCGCGATCGCATCTTGCTGCTCGTTGGTTGTCCTTCTCCAAAAATGAGAGAGAAGAAGAGAGAAGAGAGAGAGAAGAGAGAGTGTTTGACAGAGTCACCAACAAAGGCACGAAGACACATGTGGCAAGAGAGAAAAGAGAGCAAAGAAATTGTGGACAAAACAGTGTCCCATTTCAAGCTTCTCATCTGACAATATTATCTGACAATCAGTCCACACCTTTTCTGCTTCTTTTTTTTGAGGTCACTCGCTCCTCTCAATTTGAGCGGACCCGAGGAGCTCGGAGCACAAGGGTGATGGCGTCTCACGCGCAGGCATCAGCTCAATGGCTTCTGGCAGTCGTACTCGTTGCTGCTGCTTGCGTGTACGTGCTTGCATTGGTCAGACATGGCATAGGATAGAAAAGTGCCCACAACAGCCCAACTCACCCTTGATGCTCGCACGTCCATTGTATTCAGGTCCATGGGCCTTGCTGAAGAGGATGCCTCAAACTCGCTGGCTTCGTGCGAGGCACTCGGCTGGCAATACATCCCTGTGAGCTCTCTCAACTCCCACCACAGTTTCCTGACTTGTGATTTGCTTGGGATTGAAAGCTTTTCCTTGGTCACTCACTTCTTCGCCTGCCATGCTCACCACAAACCACCTCCAGGCCTACCCAGCCACATGCATTCCTGCCAGCCTCACCGACCCGGGTTGCAGAAGCAGCGCTCCCATGGATTTTGCCTCTGCATTCCAGTATTGTTTTCACCAATCAGCGCGACTGTGCAGTGCTTCTGAGTTGCAATCCATCATTCTCAACGGCTGCTCTAACGCCACTAGCCAGGTTGTACACGATTGCTATCCACCCGCCTCACAAGCAGATTGAAACATCTGACCCACCCTTGCCCGATCAAGCAAAGAGCGAGGAGTCAAATTGCCCTCATGGACTCAAACACGGCTCAAGACTCAGAGGGCAGGATGGTCGTTATTTTACATGCGTTGTTTCTTCTTCATCTTTTTTTTTCTTTCTCTCCCAACGTTGCACGTGGTCTGTCGCGAGCTCATGGACGCTTGCTGTTGCTGTCTGGTTATAGTCTTGGAGCCGCTCCACCAACTCTGCAGGCACGGCTTATCTCGCCGTCAATCTGACCAGTGGAACGACTTCAAGCCCTAGTGCTTCAATGCTCTTTCCCACCATGTCTGTACCCTTCAGCAAACTACGCTGACCTTGTTGCAACCGGCGCGTTAACACTCAAACGTCGCTGCATTTGACTCCGGCTTGTGACGATAGATGCTGCGCTGACTCTGTGTCTGTGGAACGTCGCTCTGACGCATCCTGTACCGAGCTTCGTCTCGAGGCTCAAAGCTATGGCAATCCCAGCAATGATTCGGTAGGTCGGCCTTGCTTGCAGTGTCCGTGCATGCACCAAGTTGACTTGCCTTCTTTCTTGTTTTGCCCTTTTCGCTAGTTGGCCCTGGTCAATGGCTGGACTGAAATTGCAGAGGGCGTCTGTGTATCGCCGTATACCACCTACTTACTCGATGGCACAATGCTCTCACCCCGAGCTGGCAGCGATGGCGATAGCCAACGCTGCCTACTTAACGTCACCGCGGCAGATGCAACCAATGTACATTTGCCTTTTTTTCACTCTCCCCGCTTGTCCTGCTGCCGTGTTGCTTGTCTTCCTGCCTCTGCACCAAGGCTTTCTTGCCTCTCCACCACCACCACCACCACCACCACACACACACACACACACACACACACACACACACACACACTCGCTCACTTGAATCTTTGCGCCTCCATTGTGACGTAGATTTGCGCCATGAATGGCGCTCGCCTCTGTTACCAAAATGGTGCGTCTTTGCGCCAGCACTTGAGGGCAGACCGGCTCAAGCACTAATTGATAAATTGCATGTGCATCTGTGACCTTGATGTATTTCTAGAGCTCGCAGTCACCGACAGCGTCGCGGGCTGTCAGCGGCGGTTTGCTGGCGCACACGTGCTCACGGGCTCAACCTGCGCCGAAGGTCAGTTTTCCTGCCGGCCTGGTTGCACTTTGTCCTTGCCCGCAGCCTTACCCATGTTACCGTCAATCTGCACGCGCTGTCAAGGCCATGTTACCGTCCGTGCCAGCAACACCAGTGACACACGTTGCAACGCCATCAACGACGCATCTCTTCAGTATGCCGTTGTGTGCTGCGGCGATGAACTTCCCTCCATTCAACGGCTCTCCGAGAAAAGCTGTGCAGAGCTTGAGGCTGTCGGCTTTGAAGAAACTGCCTCTAGTCGTGAGCACATCTGTGGTGCCAGTGACATCAATTCGGTGCGCCTGTTGTCCTGCACCGTGCCATGTGATCTGGCCCATAAGGACTGTTGAGTCCCTGGGCATTGGTTTCAAACCCGATGCACCCGCCCTTTCTTGTTTCAAAAGCACTGATAAACTCGCTGGCCTGACATGCATCTTAAACAAATAATTGGCATGTGGCATTAGCAATGTTTTGCCAACGCCACTTTTGCTGAAGCCGAAGCTTTCTGCTCGGCCGTGGGTGCCAGACTCTGTACGCTGTCAGAGCACATTGCTGGGGAGGCCCGTGACACCGGCGTATGTACATTGCGTCATTCGTGTCATGGTCCTTTCCCAGGTGCTCTTCAAACCTTGCTTTTGTCTGGCCACGTCTGCTCTCGTTTGGTTGGCCCCCACAGTGCCTCTTCAACATGCAGTCAACATGGTCGGCGACTCCATGCGGCCGCGACGGTTTGAGCCACATGGCCTGGAACAGCCAAGCCAATGCAATGTCTTGCCACACCTCTTTGGAGCAACTGCCGTACGCGCTGCTGTTTTTTCGCATGTCCCGTCTTTTATCATCTATTCGATCTAACATGCTCCCTTGTGGCCTGTAGGGTCCGTTGCTGTGCTGACGAAGTGTCAGTCTTTGGCGCTCTGACGGGTACCTCATGCAAGACCTGTTCTCAACTGGGCTGGAACGCTGGCCGTGCTGGCAGTACCAACATTCGCACTTGCGCCGGCTCTCGAGTGGTGGGGGCTTCTAGTGAAAACGGTGCTTGTCCATTGCGGGAGATGCCTTGGGATACGGCCGATCGTCTGTGCTTGGACATTGGTGCTCGTTTGTGCAATGCAGATGAGATCATGGCTGGGGAGACGACAGGCACCGGTGTAAGTTGCACGACACGTTGACCTCTTGCTCCTCTTCTGTGCTCATCGTGTTCGGCCTGTTTTTTTTTTTTTTTTTTTTTTTTTTTTTTTTTTTTTTTTTTTCCTTTCTTTTCTTTTCCTTGACATGTTTGGGTCAACGGCAGTGAGAGTCAAGTGGCCGCAATACCCTTGCCGCAAACTTCACAGCTTTCTTTGCCCTCCTTGTTCCATTTCGCTTTGCAGTGCAACCTTGACGCCCGGCTTATCTGGTCTCGTACGCCGTGTGGCGACAATCACTCCTCATTTGTGGCGCTAAACGGCAATTACCAAGATGGGGATGTGGTACACTGCGTGCCTCGTGCCAACAACGCGACGGCGCTTGTGCGATGCTGCGCTGATGTAGAAAACATCAAGAGCGACCTCTCTTGTGACAGCCTGCGTGAGGCAACAGCACGTTACAACACCTTCCGTATGTTGCAACAATGGTCAGACATTGACAACGATGAGGATCAAGTCTGCGCAAACAGCTTTATGCTCTTTGATGCAACGGTAAGTTTGATTTGCGCTTTGTGCAGGCGCACGTCTTGATCACACCGCTGTTTCATGTTTACATCTGGGTGTTAATCATATATCATAATTATTTTCAGTTTGTTTGTGTTTGTTTTTATTTTTGCACTTACTGGCTGTATTTGAATAGGGCCAATATGCGCAAATGACAAATTCAATCAATGGCAGCGATGCGCGCTGCTTCAGCAACAAAACTTTTTCAGAGGCAGACCAGATCTGCAATGCCAATGGCGCACGGTCCGTTTTCCCGAAAGTAGCAGGCTCAGCTGCACTCGGCCGGTCATCATTGTCGGCATCCTTACTTGCCTGGCCATTCTGCTAGCCTTTGTACATCGATCGAAATGCGCCGTCAAGCCAAGGGAACGGTGCGCCTCATATCACGACAACGAAGACACTTTCTCTCCCCAACCCGTTCCCACTAACACTTTGGCTGCATCTCGGGGGCTTTTTTTAGGGTTGCGCGTTCGACGCCAGGGATGTCTACGTAGCTACCAGCTCTGAGTGCTACGTCAACAGCTCCTCGACAAACTATGACGGTGTTTTGAGTGGCTATGGTGGTGCTTTTACCTGCATGCCCAAACAAGCTTCAATCTTCGCCGTTCGTTGCTGCGGTGATGAAGATAACACTGGTGCAACCGTATCAAACATTGAGACGCCTACTCGCTCGCTCAAGAGCTGCCAAGAGCTAAGCTGGAGTTACCAGGGCCTTGGTCGCCTGTTGGTCTGCAGTGCCAGCTCTTACCCGAACGGCACCTGCTTTACCGACGGACGCGTGGCCGACGAAATCGACTTTGCTGAGGCGAATCTTCGCTGCCAGTCTGTAGGAGCGCGTCTTTGCACCTCCGCTGAGGTCGTGCGCCACGAAGCCTTTGCGACTGGTTGTCAGGTCAGGGCTGCCTTTTTTTTTCTCTCTCCTACCAGCGTCTAAGCTGAGGGGATCTCAACTCATCTGCGCCCGTGCCTTCTTTCTCTCTTTGTAGATCAATGGCAATTACATCTGGACATCAACCGCATGGTCAGTGACGTACTGGCCGCGGCCCGCGTAGCATCAGCCCACGGATTGTTGCTTGTGGGCAACGCGCCGGCCCTGCTCGCTGTGACGCCCCTTTTGCAGCTTATCAAATTGTGCCCCAATAACAGCGATCGCTGCAACGTTGAATCGGCTGTTCAAGTGGCTGAAACCAGTACAGGCAGCCGTAAGCGGTGTACACCACTCACTGGCAAGGGCGAGTACGTCGACAAAACTTGCGACCACCATTTTCTTGACAAACTTGACATTCGCCTCATGTACCAACAACCGGTTTTGCCCTTGGCTCTTGCTAAATATAATTGTGACCCGTTAGGCTGCGCTGTTGCGCTGATGCTGCCACAGACACGGCGCTATTGACTGGGACCAGCGTAAAAACTTGCGGTGACTTGGACTGGGATCCAGTGCAGACGCAGGGTACCTTTGCTCGTGTGTGCGCCGAATCACAGGTCAGCAACCTAGAGATGGCCCTCCCAGACTGTCACCTACTAAAATGCGCCATCCGTACCTCAGTTATATTTTGCGGACCGCGTGCCTTCTATGGTAGATTGTGGTCAATGGCCAGGGTGACCTGTCTTGTGCCGCCACCAACGTGACTTTCCCAGTGGCTGAAGAATATTGCGCCAATATCGGAGCACGCTTGTGCAGTGCCGAAGAGGTCGAGGCTCGCGCTGGCTCGGGCTCAGGGGTGAGCCGGCCGCGAGACTGCTTCGTCTCCAATGTGGTCCACGTGCTACCAACCTACCCAATGGCTTGGTGACCCTTTCCTCATGGACTCGTGCTTATGTTAGTGTGGCTTGAACTCGGAGCGCATCTGGACCCGTAGCCAATGTGCCGCTGGATTTTACACTCTGGCCGGCCAGCCTAGCAATCTGGATAGCATCCCTAAGCTATGTACACCCAGTGATGGGCGAGCGTATGTTCGGGTAAGAAAGTGTACAGTGATTGTCTGGGGTGCCAAGCAATCGGCCCATAGCTTGCCCCTGGCCGGGCATAAAAGGGCCTTCACCCTCATCGCATCTGCCTGTTCGTGGTGCAGTGCTGTGCCGATGAGCTGCAAGATCAGAGTGATTACTCGTGCTCAGAGCTGGGAACGTCCCCAGCACAGTATACTCAATTCCGCAGCGGAAATGCGTTTCCAGTTGCTTCCAATATGAGTTCCAGCTGCTTTGAGTCACGTCTTACCCTCGACGAGCAGGGTCAGCGTGTGCCGGAGGACAACGACTCACTCTGTCAGACTGTCTCGGAGACCAGTGTCGCGCAACGTACCTGCTATCAACAAGGTCAGGTGCCATCTGCTGCTCGGCTGTTTCATGTGTCATCTAACTGGGTCTCCACGATGCAAATTCGGCTAATGTTTTTTTCAGGTGCTCGTCTCTGCACGCGCAGCGAGTTGCTCAATCTTGCTCTTGCTTCGCAATGCAATACCTCGGTAAGCACAAGATTCTTTGGCTCGGCGTTTGCAAAAGGCGCTGTCGTACTGCAATGCTCTCTTGCTTTCGCGACGGCATTCTTTTGGACCTCTTTCGTGCATTGATGTCATCTGTTTTAGCTGTACATCCCCTCGTCTGCCAGCTGTACAACCATCGATGGGTACATTGGACGTCGGGCTTTCCTTCCTGGCTCTGCGGATGAGCTCTGCGTGCCCAACGATGCATCAGCTGCCACAAATGTCCTAGCCGGTCAATCTTTGGCCGTGGCCTGCTGTGCCGATGTTGATGTTCCGACTCGCGCCGTTTCCGCTCTCTCATGCTCGCAGCTTGGATGGTCTGTCTTGCTCTTTGCAGTTGACGTCATGCGCTTGTTGCCGGCCAGCATTTCAGTTGCGGAGACATGGACCAACACTTACGCATGATGGTTGCGCACGTGGTCGTCGACCAATATGTGGCAGGCCGGAAACAAAAGGAAACTTGGCTATCTGCGGAGCTAGCAAGCTGGGAGCTGAGGCAACCTGCTTTGCTGATGTGGTGCGACCTCCCTGCGCGCATGTTACAGAACCACATCTTCGAATGTATCCCTAGCTCACCTTGCCTGCTGCGGCCCCGATCGCTCAAAACGCATGTGGGGACGCAGCGGTATGAAGCTGCAGATGCCATCTGCAGCGCTTTCGGCGCACGTCTTTGTACTGTCTCCGAGCATATTGCTGGCGAGGCCTTGGACACGGTGCGTTACATCACATCTCGGCCTGGATATCGACTCCATAATGTCCACCACCCTCGCTCCTTGGTGTCGCCATACCCCCAAGACCTCAATTCGCCGACTATCGCTCAGGGTTGCAATTTCAATGGCCGGGCAGTCTGGACCGCAACCCCTTGGTATGTGCTCAAATATCCTTGAACAATTTGCCATCTTTGAAGCATGTGATGTTCATCGCGGCAGGTAATTTTCAATAGCAATCAAGGCGGAATCGATGGCCAGCATATCATTAAAGGTACTGACGTTGAGTGTACGAGCAAGCTTTATCTTGCCTCAGTGCGCTGCTGTGCAGGTTGGTCAATTTTTTTTTTTTTCTTGTGAAACGTCAACTAATGTGCTAGGAGTTGGCAAGGCAATTTCGATCATCCAACAGCGATACTCGCCCAGTCATGCTCATCCTTTTTGGCCACATACACTCTAGATCGCCAGATCAAGGATGTCTACCTGACCGGTTCTTCGTGCAAGAGCTGTGGCGAGCTCGGGTTTTACCACCAGGTTTGACCCCAAAACAGCACCATGCACCGACACATGTTTTTCCAACGGCCCTTTGCCTGCTCACACTATCCATCCCTGGGCAGTCGCGACGAGGCGATGGAGACGTTTGTGGCGAGAGTGAGATTGTGGGCCCGACGGAAGGCGAGCGCTCCTGCTACCCAGACCCTGTCACATTTGACCAAGCGTTGCAAATGTGTGGGCAAATTGGTGCGCGCCTGTGCAGTGCAACGGTGCGTGCGGGATGCCGAGGATGGCCGGGCGTGTCAACGATTCACTTCTCCGCCTTCCTGTGCAGCAATGAATCTAACATGATTTTTCATTTGCATTCCACACCCCCTGCATTTAACCCTGCAGGAATTGACGGTGGGTGAGGCCACCGGAACAGGCGTAAGTACACTTGCACCCTTGGCACCTTGCTTTGGCTGATCGCCAAGAAGTTGTGCTCTACAATGGCCTGCAATGGACCGTTGGGACATGGTGCCGCGGGCACGCCCAAAAACTTGGTTGGTCTCAAGAACGTGCGTGTGCTTGCTCTTAGTGCAATCTTAATGGCAAGGCGATCTGGTCCCGGAGCCAAGATGGCTGCGCCGATGGGGAATTCGTGGCAATTGCGGGCTCAGGAACCAGCGCAGCTTCCACTTGTTTGCCAGCGTCCGAAACGGCCTTTGTGCGTTGTTGTGGCGGTAGGTTCTTGATTCAGGTCGCCTTTAATTTGTACCACTAGGCCAACTCGGTAAACCTCGAAACATGTTCTTCCGGATCTCCATGGTAGATGAGTATACAACTCCGCCGGATCAGTCCTGTATGCAGCTGCAACAGGACAACGCCCGGTTGGGCATGTCTGGTGATGTGGGCTGGACTTTGGATGACAGTCGTGGGACCTGCACGGCATGGCATCTGCCCTACAATGGCGATGGTTCCCTCACCCGCGAAGGCCGTCAATACGCCACAGTAGACGACGCCGAGCATATTTGTGCCTTGAATTCGGCGCGCCTCTGCACAGTCAACGAACTCATTGACAATTTTGATACCGCTAGTGAGTTGCATGGCGCGTGATGGCATGCCTTGGTCTTGGCTTTTGAGGGTCGCATTTGCGTTGGTGTAATACCAGGCGCGCTCAAAAAAGTGTATGTGCCTGACCTTGTGACCTCGAAACTCTGTGCAGACGGGCAAAACGACACCGCATCAGGCTCAGGGTGCTCGGTGGGAGGTGAACCTGGCTTGATGGTCGTCAATGCCAATGATCTCAGTGCCAACGGCGCATACTGTGTGCCACGCGATGTCGCGAAAGATTCGAGAACGTTTGCCGTTCAATGCTGCTCGGATCAAGCCGTGCCGCACATCGAGCGGTCAGCAGCCTCTTGTGAAAATCTAACATGGGACCTGTCGAGCACAGATGCCCGCAAAGACGTGTGCGGAGCTTCGCTTGTCATCCCCACTTTGGACGGTGAATGGGCCTGCGCAGGCCAAGTGTCATATACTGAAGCCGTCGATATTTGTCGCAACATCAGCGCTCGGCTGTGTACCATTGGGGTGCGTATGATTGAGCACCATCCAAGGCTTATTGTGCCTGGTTTTCTCACGTGTGCGGGTGTCCATGCTTCTAACCCTACTGACATGTACACAGGAGCTCACAGCCAAAGCCGCTCGCGACACGGGGTCAGTACGACCCTGGCTCTCTTCGTCCCTTGCCACTTGTCTTTTCAGCCATCGCTTGAGTGCTACGTTCCTGGCGCAGAACTCAAGTCTGATGTGCAATTGTTCTGTCCTTCAACCGTTCAGCTGTTTGTATAATTTTGAGCATACCTGGAGCAGCAGTGATTGCACGCGTTGTGGAATCAGCTCACATTGGACCTTTTTGTCGGCGTCGACCACCAATCAAGCCAACGATCGCGCTTGTGCTGATGATTATCAGCTGCGTGCCGGTACGCAAACCATCGAATACATCCGTGCTCTCCAAAACTGCTTTCCCTGCGCTGCAATGTCCACCTGAATCATCTTAGTTGGATCCATCACCCACATTTTTCCCACACCTTCTCACCTTGGTCCCTCGGCACATGTACGTGCCTCGTGCAGTGCGTTGCTGCGCGGATGTGGAAGAACGGCAGTACTTGGATAGTGTCTCCACTTCGTGCAGTTCCTGCGAGCAGCTTGGCCTGTCCCCAACGACTGTACGCAACTTGTATCGCTGTTCATTGCCGATCCTTACAACCAATTCTTCTGAGACTGCTGTCTCGTGCTTTTTTAACGATTCTATAGGTTGATTACGGCGTCTGCGGCACCAGAGACGTGCTAGAGAATGGGGCGTGCACACACGCCAACGTGTCCTTTGTCACTGCGGGCGAACAGTGCTCAGCCATAGGCATGCGACTCTGCGATATCACAGAACTCGAAGCCGGTTTGTACCAAGGCGTTAACGACGCTTGTAGCCTGGATGGATCCGCACTGTGGTCGCGCAATTCGTGTGGCACCGAATCTGCATACGTCATCACGCCTGCCGGTCAGCGGGAATGTCAAAACACTTCAACACCAACAGCAGCCTTTGCGTGCTGCGCCGATACAGCGTATATCCTCAAGTCTGAAGCATCATGCTTGGCTTTGCAGTTTTCCGCCTTTAACGTGCTGAATCATCGCGGCACAGCTGGTGGTTACAGCTGGTTGGGCACGAACCAGACAACTTGTACTTCGGGGCAACTCACCTTTGATGAATCTGCTCAAATCCTGGATGTGAACGATCGGTGTCAGAGTGGTAAAACTTTTGATGAAGCCGAAAAAATATGTGCCATCAATCAAGCCCGGCTGTGCCAAGTGCTTGAGTTGGAGCAAGTCGGCATTAACGAGACTTGTGATGGCAGTGAAGTTTCTGCTTGGAGCGGCACTGCCTGTGCATTAACCAATACGACCATTGGCTTCTATCGCGTCACTCAAACTGCTCCTGGCGTGTATAATCGCACTTGCTTGCCACGCGATGGTGGACCAAGTGCCACGAGCGGTGTACAATGCTGCGCGGGTATGTGCATCTCGCCTTCTTTTCTGCGTGCGCTTCCTACATTACACATCCTATGTATCTTTGGGCCTTGCTTTTGTGCACGACACTTGGTCAACCGTGCCAAGGCTTCGTGTTGTGTGGGCTGGGCAGAAACTCAACCTCATCTTCAATTTTGGCTGTTTCCAGATGCGACTGGCACTACTCCCATCCGTTCAACGCGCAGCTGTGCGCAACTTGACTTTGCTTTTACCCCGTATGGTCCGGACAACGTATGTGGTTCATCCTTGGTGATCAACGGCAGCTGTTTAGGAGATCAGGTGAGTTGGTAGGAGGTGGTCAAGCATTGCTGTGGTATCCTCCCCAGGGGAGGAACTTGCATCTGCGACCACGCTTCGACGCCTCTCATGCGCAGATGAGATTGTTTCAAGGTTTCCTTTGCGCGAGCCGAGGCCGTGTGTACGGAGCTAGGCGCACGCCTGTGCACCTTTGGAGAGTATATCGCTGGTGCCACGCGCGATACTGGGTGTGGTTAGTCCTGATAGCCTTGAGCCATGCGACATGCATGAGTGGCCATATTTCATATGGCACACATGCACCCATATCCACGAGTGCTTGGATGAATGGTGCTTTAAGCTTTCTTTCATGTTCTCCCCTGTTTTGGTGTTGCAGGCCACAACAACGCTCCTGTTTGGACATCGACGGATTGCGGCCGATGTGGACGCACTGCCAAGTTGAGTCACAGGCATGATGGTGGTGTTACTAGCTGCCTGGAGCCCACCACGGGCTCCGCCATGGTTCGCTGCTGTGCAGATGTGGTCACGGACGCCACCATTGCCGTCGGAAAATCGTGTTCAACCTGCTCCCAGCTTGGCTGGACAGCAATCAACGATTCCGTCACCACTTGTATCGAAAGCGCCGTGCTGCAAGACAATGCGCTTGCCTCTCCGCAATGCCTTGAGCAGCCTATTAGCTTGGACGTACGTCGAGACGTCTCCTGATCGAGCAAATGTCGCTGTGTATGGCTTGAAACCATTCATCTGTGGTTGCTGCCCTCGTGACAATGTTTTTTGCGGTGCCTGTGGGCATCGCAATGCATAACTCGTCTCATGCGCTCTGGCTTCACCTTTGACATAGTTGGCTGTTGAAGTGTGCCAGGCACAAGGGGCACGTCTCTGCGAGCGATCTGAAGCCCGTGAAGCCCGCAACGATTTGACCTCTTGTGGTATGATGCGTCATGTATTGAAACCATTTGTTTGGATTGATTTTGTATTTTGTGGGCGCGCAAGGGTAGAATGCACAGGCCTGTCCTCTGTTCTTGCCATCTGTTTCCCTCAAGTATCTAAACCACATTATTTGTACTGGTCAACAAATGTCAGGTCTCCATGACGAGTTTGTTTGGACTCGGACCTCGTGTGCGGCTGGCTACTACCTTGTGCGGGCCAGTGATGGGGCCGAAGTTTGCACAGCTACCACCAATCTGGCCCATCTGCGCGTACGGTCATCATGCCTCATCGATGTGCTGGTTTCTGTTTGATTTTTTCCTCAGAAAGGGAATTTGCTTGTTCACGGTTTCTCATTTCCTTCCTATTTATTTGTGTGGAGAAGGGGTGAAAGTCGATCTGTCACTCATGCTTGCTGTGCTTTCCACTCTCACCCCTGCGCGTTTAGTGTTGCGCGGATGAGAGCACGCCTAAATCCGATCGATCGTGCAGTGAACTGCGAGATTCTGGCCAATTCTTGGGCACACCTCGGGACAACGATGATGTTTGGTCTGCGCCTTCCTCCAGCACTGATCTTGTGTGCGCCGCCTCCTACATGCCCTATGGTCTCGATGGTGAAGTTTTACCGCCCACAGCTCAGGCGCGATGCCACAAGAATTACAGTTTTGCCGAGGCTGAGGCATTGTGCAGTGTGAACGGCGGTCGTCTCTGCACGTCTTTTGAGATTGAATTTGAGAGTGTCGGCACGGGCTGTGTACTTGGGCGCTTCCCCATTCACACGGCTTCGAAGTGCCGCTTACCGGATGGCACCGAGGGCATCGTTGATGTGGCTATCATGGCCGGCAACACGTCTTGTGTTCCCGCGTCCACGAGAGCAGCTGTGCGTTGCTGTGCAGGTATGTGTCGTCAGGAGATCAACATCAGTGCCAGGTTTTGCTCCCGTCTCGCAACTCATCATGTTGCTTGTGCGGTGACTGCTGCCACTTGTGCTGTGTCTGTAGATGAGGTTGTGGAAGCCGCCCCAGTTTCGCGCCTGACCTGCTCAGAGCTCAATTACTTCCCATTGAGCAAAGCAGCTCAGGTCTGCGCGGCGCCTCTGCGCTTTGACAACGGAACAGTGAACACCGAGCCCATGTCGCAAGCCATTGCTCAGGCTCGCTGTGAAGCATCAGGCGCCCGTCTCTGCACCGCCAATGAGCTTATGTTGGGTGCAGATGCTGGCTCGAGTACGTTCATTCCCGAGGTTGCAGCACATCAGCTTGGCTGCACGTTCTGCTTCGAGTACCCGTGACCATGCCTGTGCATTTGTCAGGAAAAAGTAGGCCAACTGAGCTTGACTACCCGTGACTTCTTTCTGTCGCTCTCTTCTAGATGACGGCCTGGATGCCTCCTATGTTTGGAGCTCGTCCGATTGCTCCACGTGCAGTGCCAATGCCTTTGTTGCTGTCAAGTATGGTTCACTCTCCACTCTGGGCTACGTGGAAACGATGTGCCTCCAAGGCACGGATGTTGCGCCCGCACGGTAAGAGCCTGTCATCCACAGCGCTTTGCTTTCGCGGGTTCCGCGGTGTGAGCTTGGCACGTGTGTTGCCACCCGATACAAGCCGTTATTTCCGCTTTCCTTCAGCTTGGATTGATTTGGCCCTTCCTTCGTCCCAACATCTCACTTTTATGGGCATCCTGCTGTGGTTGGTAGCTGCTGTGCTGATGCAGCCAATGACGAGGTTTTGCTGACGGGCACGTCATGCAAGACTTGTGATCAGCTGCGCTGGGGCGCCGCGCGGGGAGATCCCAATGTCTGTGGGTCCGACTTGATTGTCGGGACAACAGGAAACGCACAGTGCCCCGACTCCCGTTTGACTTTTCGACAAGCTGAGCAATTGTGCCAGGATATAGGTGCTCGGCTATGCAGTGTGGACGAGGTCGAGACGGAGATTGCAAAGGGGGACTGCGATCCAGATGGTGACTTTAAAATCTGGACACGCGAAACCTGTGCCGATGGTTTTGTGGTGGCGTCGCACTTTGCTAACACACGTAACACTGGCACGCTCTGTCGAAATCCCGATCGCCTGGCATATGCACGCTGCTGTGGTGACCGCGATGGTGTCATGTCCGATTACACGTGTGACGCTCTTCGGACTGGCACTGATCAGAGCAGCAACCCAGCGTATGGTACGCTAGTGGGGGGATGGACGTCAGCTACAGCTGCGCCTCAAATCAACGCCTCGTTCTGCTTGACGCCCTTTGCAACCCGAACTCTGGCGGGAGAACTGTTGCAGGCTGGCAGTCGCCTCATTACCAACGCCTCAGCAGAAGAGGTGGACCGCTACTGTGCCATCATGGGGGCACGGTTGCCTTCTGCCTTTGAGCTTCGGCAGGGCAAGTCTTTGCTCCCGGCACCTGGCGAGGGCGTCGGCGACTTGTATGCCACTTCTTCACGGTGCACAGTAGACGATACGGGGGCCGGCGGATACTTGGCTTTGAATGTGACCAGAAACCGTCTGAGGTGAGAGGCTCTTCGTGGATACTTTGTGAGCACATCCTGCGCGCTTGAGTGCGTATTCACGGCCCTTTGTGTGTGTGTGTGTGTGTGTGTGTGTGTGTGTGTGTGTGTGTGTGTGTGTGTGTGTGTGTGTGTGTGTGTGTGTGTGTGTGTGTGTGTGTGTGTGTGTGTGGAATGGGCCATAATGCTCAGCTGCGTGGACGCCGCACTCCCCATTGTCACTGTTCGGTGTGCTGCCGATGAGGAATTTGCCGCCCCAGCCCGCATCCGCTCTGAAGCTTCATGTGAGGCCTTGGGATGGACGCGGTTCAACTACGGCACTGTCGAGGTTTGCGGCGAGTCTGAGGTGGACAATGGACAGTGTGTGGGCTCGCTGGTTACCTTTGACGTTGCTCAAAAAGTTTGCCAGGACAGCCACGCACGGCTATGCACCTATAGTGTACGTGATGGGTGCTTGTTTGTGAAGGGGCGGGGCGAAGGATTGAAGAGGACCGGGTAGTCAGGCATGCCTCTTTTTTTTTTTTTTTTTTTTTTTTGAAAAGAATTCCCGCCAGCAATTCTTCTTGACGTGCATGCTCTACTTGTCATTGCTTAATGCCTCGCTCAAATTGTAGGAGCTGGTCCGTGGAGAGGCATTGGACAGTGGTTGTGGACACAATGGCAAGGCCATTTGGTCAGGCACGAGCTGTGGAAGATGTGGAGTGTCATCGTATCTCACACATTCATTTGCCAACTTGAATGCTGTGGGTTATGGCGAGCGACAATGCCTGCATGTGTACCAAACAGCGGCTGTTCGTTGCTGTGCCGATGCGGAACTTGCTTTCATTCCTACTTTGTCACCCACCTCGGCGAGCACGCCCGTTTCCTCTACCACCGACCACGCCACCACGATGTTGACAACGTCAGGCACTTTGCCCACAGCTGCGTCGTCTACTGTCTCAAGCTCGTTCACGTCTGCCAGCAGCACTGTGTCGAGCTCTGCAGGCACGTCGACAGCACCTTTGACAACTGCAAGCTCCGCGGGCACCACGACCATGAGCCCTAACGTCACTACAGAAACGGTAGGCACAACCCCCATAATGGGATCCACCACCTTGGGATCCACCGCGACCACCACTACCACTACCACTACCACTACCACTACCACTACTACCACTACTACGACCACTACTACTACCACTACCACTACCACTACTACCACCACCACCACTACCGTCCCACCCGATACAATCCTGGCGCGAGTGCGGATTCAAGGGATCACCGTCACCGACATCAACTTTGCACAGATGAGCAACGCGCTTGCCTCTACAATTACTACTCTCAGCGGGCGTGCTGTAATCCGCGCCGACAATGTGTATGTCCTAGATATTACGGCTGGCTCGGCCGTCGTGACGTTCTCTTTGGTTATGCCCTCGGTTGACGATGTACCCCTTGTTGGTTGCGCCCTCAACGCGGCAATTCGCAATCAGAGGCTGGCGCAAGACATTGCTACCACTATTAACCATCAAGTTAACAGTGTCATAATGGAGTTGTTTCTCTGCAGCTCTTGCATCGACGAGGCGAATTGCGCTGCTCTGCTTCCCGGCACAACGGCTGCACCATTCACCACCACTCCCAGCTCGGCCACATCTGCCAGCGACCAGACAGATCCTACTGGACGATTCACGACCAGTTCTGGTCCGACGTCAGAACATGTTCCATCCACGACAACCGACTCGAGACCTGCAACTGGGCGCTCCACTCGCCCAGGTACTACCGCCAGCACTGCACCCGGCACTGAGCAAACAACGGTGGCACCCATGAATGGCGCCACCACGGTCGACCCGTCTAGCGCCCAGTCTGGTAGCAGGAGCCGAGACAGCGGACTGGCCATCGGTATCATAGCGGGCTTGGTGGTGGCTATTTTGGTTGTTGTTGCTGCCGTTGTTGTTCGGCGCCGGCATCAGCAGCACAGCAATATTTCTGGAGCTGGTGATCGCCGACATGTCTCTTCCTTTACGAATCCCATGGTGAGGTGATCCACGCGAGTTTTTTGTGCGCAGACACGTTCTGCGCCGTATTGCTCACACTTTGTTGCTGTGTCTTCTTTCTGGGGCCCCACAGTACGGTGGTAACGAGGATCACATTGTGGAGGCTGGCCACTATGCCACCGCTTCCGACCCGTATGTTTGCTTGCTGGGCGTCCCCATGTTCCTTCCTGTGCAAGAAACCCTCAGGGGCTGCAAAGCTCTCTTTCTTCTGGCTCGTGTGCCAATTGACCGACGATGTGGGTTGCCTACCACTTTAGGTTTAGCACCGCCAGCGCCAATGAGGGTGAAGGGGACGATATCACTGACTGTACGTACGCCTTTGTAGTGGAACGTAGGAAGTCCTTATTGACTGACGCGTGTTTTTGCAATCTGCCAATGATACCCCGACGCAGATGCCAACCTACCAACTCCTTTGGAAGAGCCCGGGTATATGGATGTGTCTGGCAGACATGGTCAGGGTATGTTTTTTACGGCTGTATCTTTGACGTCTTTGCACTGCTGGAGTGCATTCACCTTGGCTGTCATGCTGCCCGAGTGACCAGAGGCCCGAGCTGTCAACAGTAGCGGCAACAACGACGACAACGAGGAGTCTGCATACATGGACGTGGGCCCGGCTGATGACCATGCCAATCACGCCTTTAACAGCAAAGATCACGTCGATCCCTTCACCTATTAATTGGCCGTCTTTCCCATCTTTCACTCCTTCACTCGCGCCCCCCTTTATGACACTCGTCAACTGAAAATCGAAATTTTGGTGAAATTTGAAAAAAAAAATTTGTTTGTGTGTGTGTGTGTGTGTGTTGTCAAACAAGCAACAAAACATCTGACAACAACTGTCACTTTGCTAGTTGCCGAGCATGGAGCCGCCTGTACCGGCAGCAGCGGGGCGGCGCCCGAAAAAGGCTGGCAAGAAGCTGGTGAAGAAGAATGGTGAGTTGAAGCTCAGGCTTGGTGTGTCCATTTGCGACGAGTTTGGATCTCAAGCACCATGCTTACCACCTTGTCTTGACGAAAGCCGGCAAGAAGAAGAAGAAGAAAGCACAGAATGCATCAGCAAACTCGGTTGCCAACGGAGAAGGCCCAGCAGCCAAGGTCTGGCTCGTTTCTCCTTGCGATGGCCGGCGCAGACCGCACGTGATTTATGGATGTAGAGTCCGTGCTTTTTGAGAGAGCCATGCTTGTTTGTTTTTAGGCGTTTGAGGTTATTCAGGACAACGATACGTTGCGATGGGACCGTGATTTGACGGAGGAGGAACTCGAAACCTACAAAGCGCTTCGGCGTGAGCGATATCGTGAGGCGCTGCGCGCCCGCGTGACGGCGATAGAAGCCCGCGAAAGCGTATGAGTGGACTACTGTGGCACCACCTTATTTTTTTATTTTATTTTGTTCTGGTTATTGTCTCTTCTGCGGCCCTGGCGATGTCCGCTGCCGCTCTGCTGCCACCGCCCTGCGGCATCCTGATTGTTGATGACTTGTTCAAGTGACCCCTCCCGCTCCCCGGGCCCGTGTGGCTCGCATCTCCATCCAAGTGAAGCGGTGAAAATGATCATTCCTCTCGTGCTACTACCTAAAATCCCTGGGCTGGTCACACATCACTTCTTTGTTTTTTATGCTTGTAGAATGTGCGCACGCACACCCCGTTATTCAAGGCGAGTTGCTGGCGATCTGAGGTACAATGCAAACATCAATTTTAGACGCTTTCCTCGGATGACAACCAGGGAGAGTGGGCCAAGGGATTGAACAAGAAAGACCACCTGGCGATGAGCGCGTGGGCAGCAAGAAATCCGGAAAGAGAAATGACACGATAACAACCTAGCAATAGCGGGAGTCAAGGGCGACTCAAGTCGGGAAGCCGATCCTGACGGCCTCTCCCTCAGTCAAACTTGAGGTACTGCGCCAACTGGCGGGTTTGCTCAGCGGCATTGCCTATGTATGTGGCGGGCGTGAGCGCCAGAAGACGCTCCACCTCTTCTGCCGGCAGGTCAGCACGAATGCTGTCGATGAACGAGGCCATGGTGGACTGGTCCACTTGCTTGCCCTAAGCATAGCACACCAATCAGACCCAGCGATTCATGATGCGCACAAGGCCAGCGACAGGGAAATGATGACATCAATCAGCGGCAGCGTGCACCGCGTGTGATGTCTCGCTCAACTGCGGGACCAACAAACCTGAGTGAACTCCTTCAACTTCTCGTAGGGGTTGGCCACGCCATAGCGGCGCATGACGGTCTGGATGGGCTCTGCCAAGAGCTCCCAGTGGGCGGCCAGATCGGCGGCGATGACAGCCGTGTCGACATCCACTTTTTTCAAGCCATGCAGGGTCGACTTGTAGCCGATCATGGAGTGAGCCAGGCCGACTCCCATATTACGGAGAACGGTGGAGTCAGTGAGATCACGCTGCCAGCGCGACACGGGCAGCTTGCGAGCCAAAAACTCCATCACGGCGTTGGCCAGGCCAAGGTTCCCCTCGGAGTTTTCAAAGTCAATCGGATTGACCTTGTGAGGCATGGTGGAGGATCCCACCTCACCAGCCAATTTGCGCTGACGGAAGAAGCGCAGTGAGACGTAAGACCACATGTCTCGGTCCAGATCCAAAAGGATCGTGTTGAAGCGTGTCACAGCATGAAAGTACTCGGCAACAAAGTCATGGGGTTCAATCTGTGTGGTGTAAGGGTTGTGCACCAGGCCGAGACCCTCAACAAATTGGCGACCGAGGTCCCCCCATCGCAAGTGTGGGTAGGCACTGATGTGAGCGTTGTAGTTGCCGACAGCACCGTTTTTCTTGCCGCGAATCTCGACGGCGGCCAGCTGATCATACTGGAGCTTGAGGCGGTAGGCAAAGTTGGCCAGCTCCTTGCCCATGGTGGAGGGCGTGGCCGGTTGGCCGTGGGTGCGGGACATCATGGCCACCTCCGCGAGCTCCTCAGCCAAGGCACCAATGGCCGTGATGACTTCGCGCATGGAAGGTAGAAGCACCTCAGTGCGAAAGTCCTTGAGGCACAGGGCCCAGCTGAGGTTGTTGATGTCCTCCGACGTGGCGGCAAAGTGAATAAACTCGCTCACCGCGCGCAGCTCGCTGTTGCCCTCGGTAGCTTGTTTCAAAAAGTACTCAATGGCTTTGACATCGTGACGAGTGGTGGCCTCGATGTCCTTGATGGCCTGGGCGTCGGAGAGACTAAAGTTGTCTGCAACGGCCTGCAGTTCTTGCAGTGCTTCGGCGCTCAGTTCAACCTCAGTGATCTCTGGGATGCCAGCCAGGAAGCGAAGCCAGGCCACTTCGACCCGGACTCGGTTGCGCATGAGGCCATACTCACTAAAGTATGGGCGCAGATCCGCTGTTTTGGACGCGTAACGCCCGTCTACGGGCGAGACGCACGTCAACGGCTCAGCGGGCAGAGACATCTTTCTTTCCAGGCACCTGCGGGTATCAAGCTGGGGGTGAGGGAAAAAAAACAGCAAGTACTCGAGAGTCAAGCGGACGCAAACGTACAACGCGGTCACCACACAGAGAACTTGAAACGTATGACGCACCACAAACCACAGGCAGGGATGACCAGGGGCGAGGGAGGGGGCCGATGAAGAGAGGTAAGGGGCTGCACAGCCAGGCAACAAATGCATCACGTGCAACACATCTTCAGCATTGCGTGAAGCTTGTGAGGGTTAAGCTCTGCTCTCTGTGTCGTCTGCCTCTCTCTCTCTCTCTCTTTTGTGATGGTCGCGTGCTATGTACCTTGCGCAAGTGTAAGGGTGTTGTCAGCACTTTCTTGTTTGTTCGATCTTCTGCCCTCACTGACACACACACACAAAATACAGACACAAAACTTGTTGCTTCAAGTTTGATGAGCAAGTGAGAGATACAGCTTCATAAGCTAGATTGTCTCATCACTTCCGCAATGACGTTCGGCGGGTATGGCTTCCTCTCGACAAAGTCGAGGGGGCTGGGACCTCACTGGCCATAATCCGTCGTGGGATTGGCGGCCAGTTTCGAGGAACCAGATGCAAGGCTGCGATTCGCCGAAACCGTGTCGCCTCCAACTATAAAAACTCCTCTCCCATATGCCGATACTCGGCACTGACAACTGCAAACTCTTCTTCATCATCATCTCATCAACAAAAACATGAATTGCTTGCACAACACACAAGAAACATGAGACCGAATGGAACCAGTTGTCTACTTGCTACGCTTGCTCCGCTTGCCACTCTGCAGCAGATAATCGCACGTCAGCAAAGCAAAGCAAAGTGAAGGGAAGGCCGTTGAGACATGACAGTGAGCACAAGCATGCAACATACCGGGCGCTCCTCGGCCTCTGAGCGACGCTTGCGTTCATCCGCTAAACAAAGTGCGAGAACCACAGGAGGGGTAAGAGTCAGATGAAGCGGAGAATGGTCCCATAATAAACGGCCATGACCATAACACGCAAGACGACTGCGCACCTGCACGCGCTTGCTCCTCAAGATCGTCCCAGTCCTCGCCCTCCTCGTCACTGTCTTCCTCGTACTCCTCTTCGCTCTCCTCATCCCCCAGCTCCAGCTCGCTGTCGTCAAATTCCTCTTCAGTGGACTCCTGCCAAACAAACATCTCCAATGTGAGGGACAACGCCACAACGACCGCCGTCAGACTCAAAATCAGACGCGCTTCAAACCTCAGCTTCGTCCAGCTCGTCCTCTGAAACCTCAAACTCAGATTCTTGATCCTCGCTATCCTCGCCAGACTGATCGGGCTGTGATTTCGTGCACACTCAGGCAAGAATGAGCCATCCTTGCGCACAATTGGCACCGTGGCAGGCTTTGTTGTTGTTTTTTCACGCTCAAACAGGGCATAACCGCACGCACGTCGTCTTCGTCAAGGAAACTCCAGCCGCCATTGTCCAAAAACTCCTGTGGCTTGGTCGTGATCTCCTTCATGATCATCTTCCATTGGAGCGTCAGCGGGCCCTGCGTGTATCGGAACTCGCAGCTGTCCAGCCACTGCTTGATCATCTCGAGGTGCTTGTTGGGAATGGCGCCCACATGGTGCACTGGACGCTTGTAATCCTTGAAGATGAACACAATGTCAAAGTTCCGGGTACGGAAGCTCACACGCTCAAAGTGCACCCGCTCCACGTCGGCCAGCACCAATACAAAAGCAGGCTACCACGACATTTGAGCCCCATCCGTTGTGAGCTCACTCAAAGAAGCACGCCAACGAGCCGAGTACCAGCCACGCCCTCTGCGCGCCAGATGTACCTGTTCCGTCAAATTGACGAGGCAGTTGTCCGTGGGCATAAGCTTCACAGTGGTCTTATGCGGCACACCTAGAATCAGAGCACCGAATCATTCGTTTTGACAGGCTTGAGTTTTGCCACCAAGAGCCAGGGAGACGCCATCTGCCACGACTGAAGCAATTGTCATATACATCAGACATGCAGCACGCACCAGGGAATGCCAGCTTCTCGTAAGGCACCTCGAACATGATGCGCTGGCCGAGCTCTTCCTCGATGGTGCGGTAGAAGTTCTCAAACTCTTGATGAAACTTTTTCTTGAGACGACGCTCAGTCTGCTCGCGTTCGGCCTCCTCGCGCTCACCACGCCCGCGCACCTGGGCCAAATCTGTCTGGACCTCGCCCACCTCACGATAAAATTGCACATCTTTGACCAGCTTCTTGTCAATCAGGATGGGGTTCTAGAAGAATCAGAACACGAGTCAAGCGACGGCCCTCCACAGCGAGCCCCAGACCGGATCAAGGGAGCTGCTCAATTACCTTGAGGTGGAAATGCAATGCAATAACTACTTCGTTCTTGCAGGGCTGATAAAAGGCATTGCGGATATTGCTGCAGCACAGGCACGCCAAGGCAGGGAGGTCAGAACCTAAATGATGCCAAAGAAAGGGAAAAGGTGTTGACGCTGGCCCAAAAGCGCACCTGAACAAAATGTCAATGGGCTCGGACTTGCTTGTATACCGCAGACCGTTGGCATGCATCTGATGACACACGCAGGAATCAAGCACGTGTGTATGAGCTGAGCAAAACTGCACGCACATAGGGCGGATCAACTCACCTCGAGAGTGCCTTGGTTGCGCTTGCGGGTTACAGGACGAATGGACATGTCCCGCAAAACGACACGCTTCTGACCCGACGGCCTCATCTTGAGATCAGCTTGTTCCACTACTTGCTGTGGGAGAGAGAGAAGCATAAAAGATATGGGGAGAAAGCATGAGTACAGACACAGCCAAACACACACGTAAAGCGAATCATCGTTCAGAGCTGAAAGGCTTGCAGACCTCGTTGCGCTTGCGCTCAAGCTCAATGTCCTTGTACTTCTTTTGCGTATCACGGATGAGACGAAAGGCCGTTTGCAGGGTCGGGGCACTTTGGCTGCGGAAAGTAATCTCCTTGAGGTAGGCTTCGGGCTCATTCTATGAAGGCACAGGCAACAAAAGCGAAGGTCAGCAAGAACAAGGTGCATCACATCACTCAACTTGCTCGCATGCAAACGGGTTGTCAACAAAAAGCATGACGTACTTCGGCATTGGGACGAATATTCTTGATACCCGGATGATTGAAGTTGATGCGCAAGAGGGAGTGATCCTCGCCGTCTGTTTGCGAGACGTTCTTAATGCAAGAGATGTGAATAGGCGTTGCGAAGCCATGGATGGGAAGAATCACTGTCTCATGCCGGCGATCCACGATAATTTTTTGGGATTTGACTTTCTCGTACGGGAATCGCGTCGGATCTGTGTAAGCAATTGGCGTCTTTTCGGTGCCAAACTAGAAGATGAAAGAAAGAAAGAAAGAAAGAAGTCATGCCAAAGGAAAAAAAAGGGGGGGGGGGGGGGGGGGCCCA